GTTTTTTTTTTTTTTTTTTTTATCGCAATCTTTTCAACATGAAATTTTATCGTAGTATTTGTATCGCGCAATATCATAAAAAGAGAACGTGGGCGTTTGACAAATATTGCCTCGGTGCCTAGGTGGATACGGCCATACAGCAGATTGGCTTCAAGAGAGTAAAAAGGGGCTATAAACCCTTGAGCGTGGACAATCTCGTGCCGTTGTACGAAATTAAGAATCCCACAAATCCCGGAAGCAAGGATCCGACGGATCCTTATTTCAGGCTTCAGTGGTACCTGAAGAATGTCGGGCAGAATGGCGGCAAACCGAAATTGGATCTGAACGTCGAGGCCGCTTGGGCCCAAGGTGTTACGGGGAAGAATGTGACGACGGCCATCATGGACGACGGTACGTGCTTGATTCTGTCTTTCTAAACGCGGGGTCTCTCGGCTGGGATTATTTTAAAGTCAAAACAGCATTAAATTACACGCGCTCGGATGCAGTTCGAACTGCAGCGGCTCTGAATCGATATCTCGCCGAGGGGCGAGTTACGCAACGCTCTCGCGTTTCACCGAGAAACGAGATGGTATTTTCGTAGAATCGCGGTCGTAACCAGTCGACCGGAACGGTGAAGCAAGACACCGTCTAAATAATTTAACAGCCGACCGGTGTAACAAAGAATTGTTGCCGTTGCCTCTCTCATCTTATTTCTTTTTCATTTCGGTTCTTTCTTTTTTCGAGGAACTTTTACGTATCATGTCACACACTGCGCGACGCACGTGGCAGCGCGTGATGTTGGGCTTTCCTTCTGCCGCTGCTTATGTAAATCCACAAACATGTACACTAATTGCTGCGTTTCTACTGTTCTATTGCAGGTGTTGACTACATGCATCCGGATCTCAAGTTTAATTATGTAAGCACAATTGTCCGTTATAATGCTAAAATGGTGCAAAAGGTTTCTTTTAACTTGCCATTTAATTCTATTTTAAATGCAGTTGTTAATATGGAAAGCTTTTTAAAGCTGAAGAAATCTCATTGAGAATAATGGTGATCGTTTCAATAAAAAATCATCTCATAAATCAAATTTATTTGATAAACTTTTTGCACCAACCTAATGAAAACTAAATGCATATACATATATCGATTTAAAACCTCTTGAAATAATAACGAAACAAACTGCATGAAAATGGCACTCTACAAATGCAATCCAATGCGATTAAAAGCGATATTTTTGTGATAAATCTGTAATTGGAATTCAATATTAACAGCATAAGTCTCTCGTATAACTAGCATCGAATATTTCGTTCTCTATCCTTCGCGCGGATGCCATTCTTAGCGTATCTCACAAATATGTGTATGCCAGGAATTTCAAGCTGGGGAATAATTCATTGACTACGAGTTGAGCAGAGACAAGCGAAAAGGAATAATTCCTTGCGATATTTGCCGAAGGGAGAAAAATTCTGTATTTTTTTTATTTTTCTGTACGTGGCTGTTATACATTGTAACATTTCTTTTAAAATGTTGCATGCCGCTTTTAGTTTTTCTTAGAAGGCAAAATTTTTAATCACTGTTCTTATCTCATCATTAAAATTGACATTAGCAGATTAGCACGTAATTTTGTCATAGTGCTAATTTCCTCCTAATTTAAGCGAAGTTATGCGGAATGTAAATAGATACGCAATTACTTTTATAATTAGCAGTCACTAACGACGACACTCTGTGTTTTCAGAACGCTAAAGCTTCTTACGACTTCAGTAGTAACGATCCTTATCCATATCCACGATACACCGATGATTGGTTTAACAGGTAAAAAAATGTTACAAAAAGTTAAACGAAGAAAAGCTAGTCAAGTAAATAAGACAATCGTAAAAGCGAAGCTTTGCTCTTAATTTGTTTGAAAGTAGAAAAAAAATGTGTCTTACGTTTTTCATACAATTAACACTTTGCGAAACTGGAAACAATCTTTTGCAATGTATTTCTCTCAAAGTCACGGTACGAGATGCGCCGGGGAAGTCGCAGCTGCACGCGATAATGAGATTTGCGGCGTCGGAGTGGCGTACGATTCGAAGATCGCCGGAATCCGGATGCTGGATCAACCGTACATGACCGACCTGATTGAGGCGAATAGCATGGGCCACGAACCCGATCTCATAGACATTTATAGCGCTTCGTGGGGGCCCACGGATGATGGCAAAACCGTAGACGGACCGCGTAATGCAACCATGCGGGCTATTGTGCGCGGCGTTAATGAGGTACACATTGCACAATTACTCACAGTAAATGATGCGATTGCAAGTGCATTCGTGTGCGGCTGCAATTAGGAAAATTAATCGCCTTTAGCACGAACCGAGAAATCATTATCGGATTGGCGAAATTAATAGAGTGGCTCTCAGCGGCAAAACTATTATTGCTTTGACAGTTCGCGCTTTTCTTCCATTAAATCTTGTGTTGAATAAAGTTGCGAGTTTTTTTGCCACAAAAAAAGTAGAAAAATTTATCGAAGCCAATGCTGACTATCTTGAGTGATAAAAATTATACTTAAAAATAATGTCAATTCGTTTCTAACTTCATTTGTCAATAACGATAAACCTAATAATTAAATGCTGCATTATTAAAGAAAACTTTACCAAAAATATTTACAAAAACTTACTAAAAATATCATAACGTCGCTAATTTTTTCATTTGATTGGAAAGATTTTGTTGTTTATATCGCTTGTTTGCTTGCGTACCATTATTAGGGCAGAAACGGATTGGGCAATATCTATGTCTGGGCTTCGGGCGACGGCGGGGAAGAGGACGATTGTAATTGTGACGGATATGCAGCGAGCATGTGGACCATCAGCATCAACAGTGCGATTAACGACGGCCAGAATGCGCATTACGATGAAAGCTGTTCTAGTACCTTAGCTTCTACCTTTAGCAACGGTGCTAAGGATCCTAATACGGGAGTGGTAAATGGCCAGAATTTCAGTTTGGGAAGAATTTCTCTCCTCCCTTTTTAGAGATAATTTTAAAAGAAAAGCATCATTACGAAATTTACTATTTTAATACTGAAACTGTTTCAACGTTTTATTTAATATATACTGATTAGTTTAATATATTGATTTTATAAGAAAAGAAGAAGTACTTTTTTGGACGGAAACACTTTGCAGCGATGTTTCTCTTTTTTATATAAAACTATCTCTAAAAAAATTAGATGGATAAATATTATATGTATATCCTTTTCATAGGCTACTACAGATTTGTACGGAAAATGCACGACGACTCACAGCGGGACGTCCGCCGCAGCACCGGAAGCTGCAGGAGTATTTGCACTTGCTCTCGAAGCCAAGTGAGTGGCATACTAGTTTGGCAAATATGCGTTCTCAACTCTTAAGCAGCGCGTGTTCACAAATATATATATATATTTTTTTAAGCAACACGCATTCTCGTTAATATTCCTTTGATACAATTTTGTGCTAAGTAAGAGCTTTTATTTCCAGCCCGCAACTCACTTGGAGAGATGTTCAGCACTTGACCGTCCTAACTTCGAAAAGAAATTCTCTGTTTGACGCGAAGGACAGATTTCATTGGACTATGAACGGCGTCGGGCTTGAGTTTAATCACCTCTTTGGATACGGCGTTTTAGATGCGGGCGCTATGGTAGCATTAGCTAAAAAATGGAAGACGGTACCGCCGAGATATCATTGCGAGGCTGGATCTATGCGTGAAATGCAGTAAGTAATCATTCGAATTGATGTTTGAGCGTAACTCGCGATGTTAATTTTAAGATTTACTGAAATTCAGAATCTATTTGTTCTTAAATTTTCAATCCCCTACTCTTTTCTCAAGCTGTTTAATTTTTCCAGGGAAGTCACGAGCAATCGATCGATTCGCGTACAAATTAAGACCGACGCGTGTGCCGGCACGGAGTATGCCGTCAACTATTTGGAGCACGTGCAAGCCGTCATTTCTGTAAACGCGACTCGACGCGGCGATCTTGAACTCTTTCTCGAATCCCCGATGGGCACAAAGTATGACAAATGTCATCTTTCACTTAAACTTTTAATCATTCTTTCAATTCGGACTTTAACTTCTGGATATATGACTCTGCAACAAGGATTTGCAAAAACTTAAACAGCACGAAAATAAATCTTCCGTAAATTTAAATTAAATGGCCTTAAATATCTCTAAAACTTAGTAGAATAAAAAACTTGATTTAATAGAAATATAATAAAAATAAAGTTTATAAAACTCTCTGTTATGTATCCAAAGATTAAACTTACTTTTTTTATTTTTTCGTTTAAGAAATTTTGTCGTCCTAATTTTTTATCTGAACTAATGTAAATAATTACAACAAATTTTCAGGTCTATGATCTTGAGCCGCAGAGTAAACGATGACGATCGTAGAGATGGATTTACGAAATGGCCATTTATGACGACACACACTTGGGGCGAGTATCCTCAGGGAACGTGGACGCTAGAGGTGAATACTGCGCATACTATTTGCATCGCGTTGGCATCAAATTTTATTATTCCTCGTATCTCGCAAGCACAAGATATGAAAACACAGTTCGATTCGAACGTTGGGATCTTTCAGGTGAAATTCAACTCAGAAACGCCTCAACGCGGATGGCTGAAGGAATGGACGCTGATGTTGCACGGCACCAGGGAACCACCATATACGGGATTGTCAGCGGCGGATCCTCACTCGAAATTAGCAATTGTCAAAAAGGCCCACGAGGAGCGATCGGGCGCGTACTAACGCTACCGACGGCTTTCGACGCGATTATCGCCGATTTAGGACGAGGAAAATGGGAATATTCCGATCGGAAGATGTTTACGCGAGCGCTCTCTTTCCGCTTTTCTCTGATTTCTCGCGCCGCGCGACTTGACAAACAAATTGTATGCCTCTCGATTTTGCAAATTCGGTTGCGCGCCGGCCGCATCATCCGTGCCAATCTATCGTCGTATGCTATTTCCGCGCGCTGACTTATCTCGTATTGAATCATTAAAAGAGAAGCAGGTTTCGGTACTTTTCATTGCAATCGCGTTTGTCTAATTCCAATTACGGCGTCAGCTATAATTACATATCAAACCGTTTGTAGCAAAATTTATATTATTAAGAAACGGCGCGGGGAAGTGGGACCTTTTGCATAGTCTTTAATATTGAAATCTTTTTTCGAAACACTAACTACCGAAAAATAAATCAATTTATTAACTATTTACTCTCGGAAACTTAATTAATATTTGTTTATACTTTTTGAGAAATATTAGGCAAAGACGTAATATAGATTGTGAATTATACGTCATTCTTTGATGCACCTTTAGAAACTTTTTACTCTATGAACAAGTGCTGAGCACTGAGCGGAAAAAAATTAATTTGTATGTACGTGGGTTGAAAAAGCATGGTCTGGAGTCTACGATCAGCCCGATAACGCTATTATTCGCTATTTATTAATTCTAATCTATTAATTTTAATTATTGTTACTAACAGCAAGCTCAGGCAGCGTGCGATGTAATTACTGAGAAGTGTCGTTTTGTTAAAGTCGTGTCCGCGTGGACAGCTTTCCGAAGAGTTCTCAAGTACGACGATCGAATCCTAATGATTGGGGCAACAAGCAGATACGGAAAGAAGTTTACCATGTATTACTCAAATAGCGGAATAAATTACTCTTCTGAGCGGAACGATGAACTCGAGGCATTAGCGTTTAATGGATGTTATCGAATCGATAGCGTCTGCAAAAGAGTATCCCGGGAACAAGAGTTTCGTGTAATCATCGTCGTCCTCGCGACTCGGTAATCGGAATATTTGTCTTGTACCGATGAAACTTTCAACTTTTAATGAAATTTGCCAACGCAGGCTGGTCGAGTTGGCCGGAAACAGTTATTTGCAGAATTACATTCAACATGTGATTTTGCGAATAATCGCATTTGACAAGTTTAACAGTGTATCGTAATATCATAATCTATAAATATCAACATTTCTATTCTTCTTCCTTTTGTACAATTATTTTATTACTCGATCGCGACTTACTTGATGACAAATAAATAATAAAAAACCTATTTTGATTTGATGCGAGCGACGGGAAAGGGGGGGGGGACGATGCGAGGACGTCTGTGAGGAACACGAGAACGCAAAATACGGATGCTACAAAATCCGCATGTGTAGACGATGTACCTTAGAATCGTAGCAAACAGAGAGTTTGAGCATTACATAAAATTAAATAAATATAAATGCATATATAAATAAGATATGTGTATATTTACATGTATATGTACGTACAGGGTGTCCCGTCCTTATCGTATTACTTCTAAATCACAGATTCTTTAAACAATTTTGGGACAAGAAATGCGAAAATTTCGAGGTCAATAGTAATTTTTAGACAAGAAGCAATTAAAATTAAACAATTGTAGTGGCTAGAATGTGAGTTAACTTTAATCGCTTCGTATTTGAAGAGTATTGTAACTTCGCGTATTGAAATTTTCGTCTTCGGATTGCTTGAAAAGTTGCTGTATAGTTGAAATACAGCGCGACAGTGACGGGACACCGTATAAATATATATACATATATTTTATATATATCTTATATACAGAGTGGAACATCTATTTTTATGACCTGGAGTGTCTCTATTGTTCACACAGGACACTTTTCGATGACTGCATGCACAATGGAGGTGTAATCCAAGTCAGAAAATTAAGTGCCCCGTCCTGTGTATTTTATATATGTATATCTCATTACATATATCTTACAGTTGAAATGGATTTAATCAACTTTATCGTGTATGCGTTAATAAGTGGATGAATAAAATCTGTATTTTTTGGCTGGCATCGTTTTTATCTCGTGTACCGATACATTTGCCACCACCTTTGACCTATTCTCTCTTCCCATATTTTTTTTTCTTATTGTCCTCATTGTCAAAACATGCTTAAAATAGATCTAACGACATATACAGGCGTTTTTGTTTGGCGAGAAATAGAGTTACATTATTTTTATTTGTTTAAATATTGCGCAAATAATGGAAAAAAGAATATCGCGTGACAAAGGCACACCTGTCGCACGCGTGTTAAACGCGAGAGATTAAATATTAAATAAAAGAAGGATGCACGCAAGAACGAGAATCGAATTGCGAGATGGAAAGGAGGGGGTAAAAATGGGGTGGTTAGTGGGAACGGGTTCAGGGGTGGAGCGGAAGCGGAAAGGGTTGAGGCGCGTGGGATTATAGAAGAGAGCCGCTCAAGTCCGAGTTCAGTCCGACAGTCCGCGTGCTACTGTCAACTCGGGAACGGAACTGTTTTGCAGTTCGTTCGTCAATCCGTGCGAGAGCAGGAAGAAACGTAGAAACGTTGACCGTCGCGAAGCATAGTCGATTATTTTCGAAAGACGCGTCGAGCACGTCATGTGCAGGTCCTCTTTTCTCGAATTTAAACGGTCTATCCAAAGTGAAATTCAAAGAAGCACGGCGAGGGTGTACGAAATTACGAATTTTGATCAGAACGTTTTGTCATCGTTGAAAATTCACGTAAGTATAATTTATGTAAAAAGTATTCGCTGTGTAGAATATGTCAGACTGACTGCAAAAGATTTATCGTCTTTGTTAAATAAAACTGAGAATATAATTACAAAGTTTTAAATTAATTTTTATTTGAATTAAAGCAACTGTTATTCACTTCAATATGTCTTCTATATACAAGAAATTATTCTATTCTTTCTTTAAATTAATTTAACAACTATGTTTATGATATAAATTATTTAATTGTTTATTTCTTAATATCGTATATCTTTAATTAAAATTTGAATTAGTAAAACTTAATGGAGAAACGTAAAAACTTTTGCAGCAATGTAATAAAAGACTTTGTCTCAGATTTCCGTCTGATTTAATCGATTCCGGCAATAAATGCAATCCGCGCTTTAATTTCCTTCTCACTTTTGCGTAGACTTTCTTTATTAAATTTCTCAAATTAAACGGAATTCTTTGCCAGATACAAACTACTTAGTTTGTTATCGAACTTCTAAGTTCATTATGTAAAGCCTGACATAACCGCGATGTTTATTTGTGGAAGTCGCAAATTGTATAGAATTTTTATTATAAAATATTTATTTTCCATTAAAACAGAAGTCTCTTTTCTTTGCATATAGAAATTTTGCGTATGCGTGAGACGGCAAGATGCACAAGTAGAAATTTATTTAAATATAGACTATCCTAAAATTACCACTTGTTTTTCTATAGTTTAACTATATCTAACTATAGCTTCTTTGATCAATTTCAAGATAATTTTTCTTTAGGAAAAATGTTTAAAAAGATTATAATTTAATGCAATTTTCTATAATATTGTGTATCTTTCGGACTAAGATTTGAATAAAAATAAATACGTTTACAATTAATTAAAAAATATAATTTGGACAATCGTATTCTCTTTCAAAATTTGTTTCGATTAAAACTTATTTTCAATTGTTAATTACTTAAGCGCCATACATGTCTCACACGTTAAGAAAATATCTACTTCAAATACAAAGAATAATAAAAAGATATCCAATGATTTCGTGATCTTGGAATCCTCCATAAATGTCTTACATAAGTTTTCTCGATCGAACATATAAATTTTCGAGAAGAAAAAGACATAATGATGATGATCCTGAGAACAATTTGTCAGCTTTGAAAGCGCTCGACTTCGCACAATTTTCCGTACAATTTCAGCTGAAAAACGAGCTACCGCTCGCAGCAGACTCGTCGCTCACTCGGTGAGGACTGCTGCCGTACATTCTCGCTGCTCCATCGACAGCCCCGTCGCGCCGGGGGTCGGCGACAAGAAGGCAAGGGTGCGCGGAACGACGACTGGACTGGACGCGGGACCGGGATTTAGGGACCGGACGTACGGCGAGACCCGGCAAATGTGGCTCTGTGCACGGTGAGCCGGGGTTACGTGGGCCCGCGTGTGACCCGCGGGGCCCGTGCTGGTGGTGGTGCTGGTGCTGGTGGTGGCGGCGGTGGAGGTAGGTTGCTACGCGGCGAGGCGAGCGCGCGGTTGCCCTTGAGCCCCCGCAATTTATGCGCCGCGGGGGTCGGTTCGCGCGGGGTGCACGGTGCGACCGGCGCGACCGTGGCTACCAGCGGCGGTGTCGCGGACGAGGCCGGCGCCGGGCTACCGGACGAGCCGATGTTGCACGTGGAACGATCGGCGCACCACGGTACATGGATATGCTGCGTGCCCTGCTACTGGCTGCGACGGAGCAAGGCCGTGCACAAGGCGCTGCTCACCTTCGCCATGCTGCTGGTCACCAGTCTGCTGGTCACCAGCCCGGTGCTCTTCCTTATCACGACCTTGCCGGAGGGCGAGCAGCCGCGCAATTGCGCGCCATTGGTGGGTGCTATGTCTTTATAACGATCGTTTCTCTTTCTATATCGTTACACAGCGCGGGGAAGATGATATTTCATCGAAGGCGTGCGAGGACCGATGCAAAGTCTGCTTAAAGCAAGTTTTCGTCGATCTAACTTTCAATGTCATCCATAAGTTCGGAGAACACACACCATACTAAATTATGAACAGATATAGCAAATTATATATACTGTCATTCACGGTTTTGAGAGTTGTGTATTTTCCACGTTTCTCTCAGCATTTGTGCACTTAACAGATTTTGCATTCGGAACCTTTCAATTCAAAGATTAAAATGACGCGACGACTTTGATGAGTTCAATTTTCGGCGCTATCGATGCACTATTGATGAGAAAGGATTTTTTGCCGCGCGTTTCATTTATTCGCAAATAAATATAATATCATAATCGCCTGACTATGAATAATAACTTATGTCGGGTAATTTTTCAGTGAGGGTTTGCATAGTACAACTAGTACTTTCGTGTAAAAAAACGGTAAATCTTCGCACGAAAAATATGATTATTCAAGACCACTTTACGTTTAAAACTATTTCTTCGTGTCATTAAAACAATTCTCACGCAATTTTATAATGCATATATAAAAGGCAAATATATACAAATCTCTCAAGTCGACATACTTCATCCATTTTATGTTTTGGCCAAGATTCATTTATGTAAATATACGTGCAGTAAATTCTATTTCTTTTATATTCGTGCATTCGTGATTGTTTTTTCGGTCAAAATTTATTTATGTAAATTTACATCGAATGCCATACTCTTTGTATCTGCGTATCCATGCAGTTGCCTATGTTTCCTTCCTCAGAAAAATATTGGTATTTGTTTAACATTATCTGATAACAGTGATAGAATTGCAGAACTACAAGTACGAGGATAGATCAAAAAGTAAAGGAGCACATTTAAGGAATCAAATCCTTTAAAAAGTCCTTTAAATTTTTCAACTTTTCTTTGTATATTAAAGATTGTAATAAGATATTCAATACACGATTTCGTGAACACGTTGCATAGGATAACTTGCAAATGTGCAAACCGTATGACGTGACGCGAATAAGAAATCGTCTTACTTATACAACAAGGGACATTAGTAGTTGCCCGAAGTCACGAGTAATTTATATCGATCGTAGCTCAGTTCGAGGTGAAGAAGGCAGAAAGCACAGCATTTAGCAAAACCACGCTGGAACTCTCGTAATCAGCGTTCGTTTATCCTGGCGCGGAAAAGGCGGCCAATTTCACAATATTACAAAAGATTATCTCGAATTAAAAAAAAAAAAAGAAAAAAAAGAAGAAAATCGAAATCAAATTGTAAATTCGAAATTCGTTGAAAACCGTTTCATTCACGCGATATCGCGCAATCACTCCTAAACGATAGAAAGGGTCGCACTTTACGATAACTTACGATTACTCGCGATACACATTGTAATATATGCCAGCGCAAAGCGAAGCCGTATTAGTAGGTAAGGTTTCGAGGCGAATAGAAAGCTCATCCTCGGCTGAGGTCAGGGCTTTACCCGTTATCCTGACCTTTAGACCTATATTCTTCTGTATGTCGCGTTTACGTATAAACTCGATTGTTTGATCGTAAACATTACGTCAAATATATGGGTATGTTACATTAATTAGTATCACAAATCCCGTCCATTGAGAGCCAAATACTGTTAACAAAAATGCTCTGTGAAAAGAACCGATAATTTGCAAAAATCGCACTTTACAAATACTTATCCGGCATTACATTATATATTGTATTTTTATCGTAAAAAGAGATTAAGCATTAAACCCAAAAAATTTAGCAATTTAAAGAAAGATAAGACATGATAAAATGGCAAAAGATATTTTTTGGCGGCGATAAATTGGGATTTGCATATTCTAAGATCGAGAAATTAGCACCTCGTTTTTTTCATTAGGTCGACACGCACCGACAACTTGCAAAAAAGGGTCATTATTTGTTAAAAGCGAAAGCTAATTGTCGCAATTTCAGGATGAGGCTTGTGTCAGAGAGCGGGATGGGCCCGAGGGTGTTTGTAATACAGATGTTTGCGTGGAGGCGTCGAAGAGGATCCTAGCGTCCATGAAACGTGGCGTCGATCCTTGCAAGGATTTTTATAAATTCGCATGCGGCGGTTTTCGCGATCAGCAGCCCTATCAGCCGAGCGCGAGTTTCAACATACTCCAGGCGCAAACTGACGCACGTATACACAGTGAGCGTTTTGCAATTATTTTCGACTTATAATCCACCGCACATCTCTTTCTACGAAATTCCCGACTATTTCGTCAATATAAAAAAGATGACCGCGCGTTCCGCTAAGTGCTCCACTTTTAGCATTATATTTCAATTCTTTCCAACCCAGTGAGTTCATATGGCCTCATTAGAACAAACCGCTATTTATCTACAGCTATCAGTTGAAACCACTGAAGTATTAATAGTGTTTATTAATTATAAAGTAGAAATTCTCGCGAGGGAATAAATAGATACAATTAGACATCAGATACGAATAGATATCTATTTTGCATGTATGGCCTATTGTAATTAATAACGCGAGTTGAAAAGGATTGAATTTTCGATACGGAAACAAGTTTAAATGGGTCATTTGTCATAACTGTGCACTGTGTCCAAACTCGAGCAGTTTACAGATAAATGCAACGTTTTTATACTTTATAAAAATTTTGCAATATAAATGACAATAGAATACGTTTAATAATTCTAAAAAAATATATATTAAATATTAAAGTATATCTCACAATGCTAACTTTTTGTCGCGTGATTATTTTCGACGACGCGATCGTAATCCGACGGGGAAAAAGCGGAAAACCGAGTACGGGGGTGAGAAATGTGAATAAAAGGCAATATATTAATCTTCAAGGACAAAGATTGAAAGAGCATGAGAGCTTGGACAGTGAATACGACCTCAATTTGGTAAGAATCTATCGTGGACACGATGGAGTGGGGTGGTGTCGCCAGCGCGACTGGCGCCGAGCGACTGGCACCAACTATGTTCGCGTATAGATCGCGCGTTGCCGGGATAATATAACTCGGTTCGGGGATCGAAACTTAAAGGGGAGGTAGATAAATACCGGAAGAAGAGAGAGTAGGAACTGTCTGAGCGCGATTGAAAAGCCTCGTTCCGATTCAAGGATAAAGTTAATGTATGGACGCGCGAAAGGAGCGCTTTATTCGACTACGTTGGTTTGAACTACGTTTATACACCCCTTAAACGGAAGCGCCGGCAAAAAGTTTCATTTGATGAAAAGTTATCGGACTCTAATGTGCGAGGAGAAATCGAACGGCCGACTTGCCGCTACTATAAATAATGCTCGTTAATCGATATACGTGTACACGTACGTGTGTGTTACGCGGGTCGCCTATTACTCGCGATAGAGTGCCTCCCCAAGTTTTACGCAACCTTCGAAATACTATTCGCGTGATTCAAGGTCGACAAATTACCTTCATCGCGCTAATCAGATTATCTAAAAGTGTGATCTCTAGCTACTTCGCCTTATCCTCTGGCTTTAGTTTTCCTTGTAAAAAAAAAGAAAATAATAGAGATATTTTTCTTTAAGGAAATCTAGTCGTGGATATTACTGTTTTAGAAATGTTGACAAACGAGACAGGGCATATGGTCGCTGCCTTCGAGAAACTCGGGCAATTTTACGATGTTTGTCGCGACTTTAAGATGAAACCCGTGAATTTTACACCCGGTAAGTTATTTATCACGATATTCACCTTGCAATTTACACACAATTTTATATTTTATCGTGTAACATATGGTTCTTAAATAAAAAAAGAATAATAAAGAAAGGCTGCAAATCAAAAGATATTACAAACTAAAACAGAGTCTTCAATTAAGTTGTTCTCTCAATCTTCTTCTTCTTTAATTACTTCCTTATTAAACTAAAGAATGTTTAAAAATTAAACTGAAACGTCTTTTTGCTCTGTTTTAATTCGTAATATTTTTTGTACCTCGATATTCGCGTTTTTAATTCACAGTTTTTTGTTATTTTATATTTCATTATTCAAATATGTGTATACTAGGTGTATCAGTAAAAATAATCGAATGCCAATAAATACAGAATATTCTCTAAACCGTTTCGTTTCGTTGTTCCGAGTTCGTTAAATCGAATGAAATTTTACGATTGAAAGATCAAAATCTTGATGCCCTCTGTCTTCAGTTTACGAGCTCTTAAATGAACTTGGTGGCTATTTATCGTCGAAAAGCGCGGTACCGGCCGACATCACCCCTCTGATCTCCGCATTGCTAAAAGTAAACGGCGCGCCTCTCTTCGATTTATATGTCGACGTAGATCTTTACGATCGCACAAAGCTATCCGTATACCTTGATCTCCCTACCAAGCACCAGAGTTACGAGTTTCTCGCAGAGGACCAGGTAAACATAATTTAAGGATAGCGATTGACTCGAATTTTTATTTATGCGGTGAATGAATTTACGCTTCTAAATTTATCATTATCTTTTTTTTTTTTAATTATTTTTTAACTTTATAAGATTTTACATATAAAGACCACACTGTGTGACACATTTCTTTTAGAAAAATAGAGACGTACAAAGATTGCGTAGAATTCAAGAGATTGTTCGGGGATTCTTGCCAAAAGATATGAATCCGAAGGAACAGTCGTCGGAGACGGATCTACTTTTGCAGTTTTGCTTATCGCTCGAAAAGGTGAAGATAAAATATTAGCGTTATGGTATTTAAATAAATGAATAAACGAGCAGAATTTATCTGCCGTTTCAGGTTTATCCAAAGCACAAAGACTTATACAATTGGGTGGACGTCGATCAAAGGGTGTACGTTGCCTACAATGTGACTTATCTTCAAGAGACCTTTGGCTATGTAAGTATAAAATATCGATTTAATTTTTTTTAATGTAAAATGCACGCGGACATTTTTTAGGGTTGCTTGTTTTGCGCGTTATAAAATAAATATAAAGGCAATTTTTTTTTTATCAAGAAAAGAAAACATAAAGTGGCTAACACGAGTTAAACGTAGATAGAGAGTTTAATCGGAGAATTTTAATTAGATACTTATCGCACTTTCATCTGCGTCCCACTTTTACCTCCACCTCACAATAACCTTTCGCATTTCTTTTTCTAATTTTTAAACTATCGGCTTCTTTCTTGAAATAAGAATTAAATTTTTAATTTAATGATCCTAATGGCAGATAAGATGGAGATCGTTGCTAAATACAACGTTACGCCATGGCGCAAACAGTACCGACCTGTACAGCAATAATAATGATACTAATCGCGCATACCGACCGCCTTATACAGCCGACGATCAGCAGATTTACGTTTACGTCACCGCTCCGCGTTACTTTCGCAGCCTCGGCAAGTTACTGAATCGTTCCTCTAAACGGTATGCATCCTTTGTCATTATACTTTTACGCACATGACACGCGTGTGAATATTTCCACGCGTTACGAAGCTGATTTTACGATTATTAATTGCCTGATCATAATTATCATCACGAAGGATTATTCATAACGGATTGCTGGTGCTGTACGCCATGGATACACTGCACGATATCGTGAACGTTACCGCTATTCAGGACTGGGAGGTTTTTTGCTACAAATTAACCAAAAGTCTATTCAGCGAGGCAGTCAGTGCGCTCTATGTGCGACAGCACACCCCAAAGTACTTGGAAACTCTAGTTAACAGGGTAATAATCTCCATTCACTGATTTAGCTCTTTAACTCTTGTTCGGGCGAACTACTTCGTACTATCCGGAAACATTGTGTTCGCCAAATAGGGCGACCGCTGCATTATAATTTAGATATTACAAGTTAGAAGCATTAATTTTTGATAGCACAAAAATTGAGAGAAAAGTATGAGAACTGACTATCATTGCCGTTGTGCGATTTCTCTGTGCATTTTTGCATCGCGTTTTTCAAAACATTTGACAATTGAAGACTTAATTTATCATCATCAGGTATCTTTTGTCTTAATGATATCATTGGTTACATCTCGTAGATAACAGCATTATTTGAACGCGTGAAGGAAACGTTAGCCGAACGTATATTGATAAAGTCGTGGCTGGACGATGAGACCAGAACGCAAGCGTTGCTGAAACTGAATTCCTTACAAGGCCAATTTCAAGTGTCGCCCGCTTTTTACAATGACACATTACTGGCATATGAAATGGTCGAGGTGAGACAATAACTTTTTAATCATTTTTAGACAAAATGAGAGAAACAACTACCCTTCAAAAGCAAAATATGAGCTTGATTAGATACCAGCTTACGATTTAATAAACTTTAAACCTGTTTATTTGAATCCATGCTTACATTTCTTATCTGTATTTTTAAGCAAGCTTGTTTTATACAGATTGTAATCGATTCGGATGACTTTTTCACTACCGTCCTAAGAAGATTCCGTCAGATCCGGAAACAGGAGAACCAAAGTTCATTACGAAGAAACGCAATAAAAAGGTGAGAGAAATTCTTCCCTAGATCTGCAAGTTATAAGATAAAAAACTCGGCTCTTCAAACACAATTTTCCAATTATTTCTTCTATTTTTTTAATCCTTATATTTTTTCTCTACTATTGCTACAAATTTATCAGATTTGTCTACAAGATTAAAAAAAATGTATTTGTCAGCTTTGTTCCAATTTTTCGTTACAAATTATAACATTGAATTTTCAGACGCCACTATCCTTACTCTGTACACGCCTATTACGAATCCTCCACAAATTCGATCGGTAAGCAGTTTACGACACTCGCGTGCTGTTATCAAAGAATTTTAGTGAAATGGTCTTTTGTTAAAAACGATAGAAATTTCGCTGGCTATGATGACATCCTGGGCATGGTCGTGGGACGGCGGACCGGCTTATGCGGTTCACGCTACGCTAGGATCGGTTATCGCTCATGAGATCCTGCACGCCTTTGATTTTCACCGTCGCAGATCGCCCGTAGATCCCGATATGAACACTGACGAGTGGCTCTCAATCACACCTGACTCTTGGAAGCGATTGGAAGCCAGAATAGAATGCGTCGCGAGGCTTTACGCCAGGAGCTTCTGGCGTAAGGTTCAATTTTACGGAAACGACGTTGCTGTACAGGTACGTTGTAGATTTATATTTAAAAAAAAAATTGTTACTCGTAAGAAAAAGTAAAATATTCTACGAAAACGTTTCTTTCGATTTTTCACTATGCAGTTCGACTGGAATATGACGAGAAACGAGAACGTTGCGGATATCGGAGCTCTACAAATTTCTCACAAGACTTGGCATACTTTGACGAACGGAAAGGATCGGAGTCTTCCTGGACTGGAGGGACTTCGTTCAAGTCAACTTTTTTTTATAAGTGCCGCTCAGGTAAAAATCCGTTTTTTAATATTCTTACTTTAAATTGGTTTTTTATTTTTCCATTCCATATTTTTGCAAATAAAAAAATAACAAAAAATCTATCGCCAGTAATTCAAATATTTTTGTGATTATTACAAAAGAACAAATTTTTTTCGACTAAGATAAATATATTTTTGTGTTTTTCCTTCTTTCTCATTTGAATTCTAACATCACAAAAAGATAAAGTTGATCCGTCATTCTGTTTTTAGGTTTATTGTGTTAACACAACTGCCGAGGCCTACGCTGTCTCTGTTGAATTCGATTATCCTGCTCCTCATCCTGAGAGGTACTTCAATCTTTCCTCTTTTTTTTTGCGTTCAAATAATGCTGTATAAAATGTAACAAATAATTTCATTTTCAGAGTCAATAGTGTAATAATGAATTCTCAAGCGTTCGCAGAAGCGTTTCGCTGTCCAATCGGAGCAAAGATGAACCCCCCGAACAAATGCATTGTCTGGTGATGATCATACACACTCGTTCATACATGAGTAAATATATCGTCACCTTACGCAACAGGCTGCCTACGTTTGTTTTACGCCGTAACTATATAATGAATCATGCAAATCATTTCAGAATCGCAGAATTAATGCTGCGTAGTGATCACTTTTTCCTTTCTGGGTGGGAATTAATAAAACTTAACCCATTAAAGGTCATAGTAAAATATAAAGAATTTTAGTTAAAAGTCAGAATGGTGTTTATTCACTAAAGATCTGAGATTAATGCTAGAATCATTAAATAGATAGTTCTTACTCATCTTGTACCTGAAAAATCGCGTTATATTTTTGCGACGTTAAAAAGTAGAAAATATCACATTTATTTTTTTAGATCTTTGAAAAACATAAAAGTGTAAATACATGGACTTTGGCAAAAGTTAAAAAGATATTAATAATTGAATACATGATAATAATAATAAATAATAAAAAATTTTCAAAAAATTCTCTCAAGCAAAATCAATTTGTTTGTTTCCAAAAAATGATAAAAGTAATTCATGACAGTTTGTTTATATCAGTTAATTATTTAATAAATTTAATGTTTGTTTCAAATAAATTAACCGTTAATGGGTTAATTTTCAGGCCTTCGACTACTGAAAAATTTCGCAAGAATTTATTCGGAAATTTCCGTTGCTTTCTTAAGTTGCATATTATGCAAAACAAGAGAAAATATATTTATAATAAAGTATTTTTCCATTTTTTATATAGTATTCTTAGAGCTCACCAAAAAGTTACTAGAATTAAACTCCAAAAAGTCATTATCCGCCCGTTATGCTATTAAGAAATTTCTCGATAAAAACAAATTGTAATCAATTTTATCGAAATGAATCGAAGCAATGAAGATTTCATAAAATTGCAACCAGTTCTAAGACAAATTATAAAAATTTACACCAATTTATATTTGAATTATAAGAAATTGTAAACTAATTTGTAAGAAGAAAACACACACATGAACAAACGGATCGATGGTGTTTGATAGAAGAACGTTATCAACAAAAATTGCATTGATATATGATAAGCAAGTATACGACACAGTAAATTCTGACCATTATACGTACGTAACGCTCTATTGTTGAAATATTAATAAAAATATTCTTGTTATCGCGTAAAATGGTGCTGGAAAGTATGATAGAAATAATTTGTATATAAAATTTATATATAATAAAAATAAAACTGTGATACAAAACAAAATCTCGGCAAAATCATTTTTTGTTGATAATGCCGGACACCATCGATAAAAAAATGCCGGACAAAAATAAATTTGCTACATGCTAAAAATATTTTTCAGCACTCTGCTTTAATCATGTAGCTATTAGTGAGAATGTATGTTGCATGTTCAGATTATTCGCTTGACTTGTTCAATTATATAAATTGAAATAGTAAAGCAATGCTTGTAATAGCTGTATTAAGTCAAACATGTTTTAATATTTCGCGAATTTTTTATAAATTTTTTCTTATCAAAAATTTGATCATATATTAAAACGCCATCTTTTTATACTCTTTTAATGATTCATCTAACATGTCTTTAGTAATTAAAGCTTAAAAAGACTTTTCAAAATTATCTTAAAATTACTTGAAGAATAAGATTTTATTATCATTTAACATTTCAAATATTTTTTATTCAAAAACTGTAATTTTACGAGAGAGTATTAATTGATTATTTTAGATCCTGGCAGCAGTTGCAAAGATACGTTGTCAAGATATGATTATTCATTTTTTGAACTTTTGAAAGAGAAAAAGAGAAAATAAAATAATCTTACTACATCTTATTAATTAAAATCCTGCCTTGAAAGCCTCTCAAGCAATTTTTATAGCGACAGCATGTAATAATGTCTAAACACTTAGTTCATACGTTGTTTAAAAAAAATTATTGTTGTTTAGAAATTGTATACCATACGTTAAATACGACATCCTATTACAGATTATACTGTTTTAGAAAGCTATTTTTGTCCGATTAATTAGTAAATATCGCTTTATGCAAATTAGATAATTGTAATGTATATATATATTTTGTAAAGAGCCTTCGACTTCTGTTCTTAAGAGATATAGTATATATTTTTTCGTAGAAGAAATAAAAGATGCAAATAAAAGCATGGACATTTTAGTTTAGCTAAGAGAAAGTACGCAGTGTTATGAATTTTGCTGCATGAAATAGGATATCAAAGTAGCACTCTGTTTTAACATTTTCCACACGTAATTTGATTAATTTAAAGTTTGATAGTTAATTTATCCATTACATGAATTACGGATCTAACGTGTTACATAGAATAATAAAAATACGTAAAAAATTATAACTTTAAACACCAGAAAATATTTATAGAGCAGGAGTTTGATTAAGTTCAATATTTTCAATAATTCTAAGATTATCGATTATTATGTGATTAGTGAAATACTTAAAAATTCGTAATTTCGAATAAAGTTATTAAGCTCGATGGGCCCGATAGATAGAAATGAGAGAAATAATCATGCATCAATAAACATTGCAATAATTAATATACATCAGCTCAACATTAGTCGTACGAAAAATGAATATGTTATACTAATTAGGAAGAACAATCATCAATTATTATTTGATAGAAACAATGTAAGAGATAAATAAGAAAATATTGTAAAATTAAAAAAAATATTATTTCTAAATATAAAAATAAAAAAATAATAGTTCCAGATATAAAAAAACTATAAAGATAAATCTTTTCACACTGATTATTAAATCCCTCAAAATATAAAATTACCAACGTGACAATGTGAAAATATTTCTTAATAATAAGAATGCAAAAAATATCGACGCAAATAACATATGAAATAACATGTACTTACATACTTGGTAATAATCATACGTCAATTGCTATTTCTGCTGCATCTCGACGAAAAAATAATGATACGAAATGTACGAAGACGATGTCGATCGATTCCATGTAGAAGTGCATTGTCGATTCTGAAAACACAATATTGATAACAGCAATTGTATACGATATTTAATGTACTATGGCGAATGTTCGGTGCTTTTCGCGATAATTTTTCGCAATTTTGAGATTAACTTTTAGACAATAATAATCATAACAACAAATGTGGAACAATCCGAATGCAATTTTTGCGGCGCATTTCACGATTAACTTTGCGATTCAAAATTGATCAAAAAGCGTATATTGCGATTCGTGAAGTGTCAATACGATTGAAGCGACAGTATATTTACACATGTTCATATTAATTGCATTTATTGCTATTTGATACAAAATAAATATAAATATATATTTAGCATTTGACAAAGAAGAATAAGAAAATAAGTAAAAAGTGCAATTAACATAAACATAGCTATTATTTAATGTCAAAATAAAATTTTCGATATTTTAGCAAATAAAACTGGTCGAGATAGCGACTTGTTATAAAAAATATATATATAGCTAGTTATAAAATTACATACCTATTGATGATCGCATGTCAATTACGCTTTCGATGCACGTCGAAAAGTTGAAATAGATGTGAAAATAATTTCGATCATACATATAGGAGCGAATTGCTGATACTAATGCCGAAAGTACAATGTTATCATAGAATGATGATGATGCTGAATGTTTATGTTACGACAAATATTTTACACGATACTTTCGATGATCTTTCGTGCGCGAGATTCACTTTTAGACAGAAATAATCGCGAAAAATATAGAATTCAATGATCTACCTGTATCTACTTGCGTCCATTGTAGTACGTTCTATGATCACTTATAACCGATTTGAAATATATTGAAATGCAGCGCCGCGATTCTTGAAACGACAAAGCAATAAACTAAAACTATAAAGGCGGCAAAATTCAAAATAAGTTGCAATAAATTGTTAATTTAAAAAAAGAAAATAACAATAAATAAATGCAATAATAATAAATGCAAGAATTTAATAAATAAAATTTTCTAAATATCGAAATTAATCTAAAATATTAAAACGTGTATGGAAATAAAATTTAAAACTTATTTATTATTATTTTTAAATATTCAAATAAATTATATAATATTTGAAATATTTAAGACGATACAAAATAAGAAATGAACACGTTGTAAATGCCAATTTACATTTTATAATCACAGTAATTGTATAACAATTATAATAGTCCAGTACAGTTATATACTCAATTATATAGCGCTTTGTAAATATTAAAATGCGTAATAATTATATTTAATATTAGGCGCAGAATATTATATTTAATTACATTTGATATCAGGCAGAGTATTATGTACCTAATTATATTTGATTTTAGAATAAGTACTATTAAAGTACATCATTTAAAATATAGCACATAAACCTATTTTGTACTATAATAGTTAGTAAATAAACTATAAATAGCAATGCTGCTATATAGCATAGTATAATATATTAAAATAAGTATAAAAATATATTAAAATTAAAATATTGTAGATATATTAGACAAAGAGATAAAGGAGATATACTGTCAATGTTAGGACTATCGAAACATTAATACTGTTATGTTAATCTGATAATTTATAGAAAGTAATTTTGCGTATTACTTATCTTTGCAGCATTTTGTTATATTAAGCGAGTAAGTTTAAATATTGTCATAATCAACGTTCCCTTTTTTTGTAGCTTCTATGACTTTTGCAAACTTTTCATATGGACATCTATGTTGCAGAACAAATGGCACATCTTTCATTTCCTCAACCCATTCCATCTGAAAATAGAAAACAAATGGTAATCAATAGATCATCGCGTATAGAAACAGATAATTAAATAATATTATGCATTTAAATTATTATTTTATAATAAATGCAAATATTATCTTAATAATGTTTGTGCTACATGAGCTTGAAATTATTGTGATAATTAAAGAAACTTCTCCATTCACACATTAAATGCTACGTTATATACTTACAAGATTAGGAAATCTCTCTTTGTCAAGACTCGCACGCCGTTTGTAAAGTATAGTTAGAGCTTTAGCACGTTCAAACCAAGGCCATATTAAAATGTCCAGCATACCAGGATTACTTCCTAAAAATAAAAATCTTATAAAATGCGAAAAATTGAAATGTAAATATAAAAATGTTATAATGCAACATGTTTCACTGATAATTTTGGAAAAAGAGTCAAAAGAGAAAGAAAATAGGAGAGAAATAGAAAAGTGATATTTGCAAACCTCCAAAAAAGATTGTCTTGCGTACACCAAGTTCTTCTTCAAACTCTTGTAAATTGTCCATTACTTCGGTTAAAATCTCTTCAAATTGCCTCTTGTCCTTGCCATGTATGCAATTTGAAAAAGTAGTTATAATCTGTAAGAAAAACATATACAATTATTAAAACATTGACTATTTCTAAAAAGATTTGTTGTTTATTACCTTAGAATAATGATCCAATAACTCCAAATCACGAGTTTTTGTCTCATTATTGTATAAAGGAGGTTCAGGATACTTCTGATCCAAATAATTTGCTATTTCAGTAGAATCTGTTATTACAGTTCCATCTGCATCAACATAAGCTGGTACTTTGCCTTCCGAATGTACCTAAAACAAAATTTTTTTTGTACAAATAACAAGAAAAACTACATTCAACATTTAAAAATAATTTGATACATACTTGAAGATACCATTCTGGTTTATTCTGCAAGTTAATGTTGACAATATCATGAGGTATCTGCTTCAGAGTAAGTATAAGTCGTATTCTGTGAGCGAAAGGACAATATTTCATACTGTACAAACGTGCCTGGCCTTCCACTTCCGGTGGCTTTTCGGAGCCTGCAACAAAAATTAGTTTTGTTAGAAAGGATTCGTTAGAAAGGATATTATGACATATGTCTCTGCTGATATGTGACACACATATAGGAGACTCCTTTCAAATACTGCCGGCTTTTTCTTAACACTACGTGTAATATTTTTAGTAGACCCGGCTGTCAAAATTACTTACCATTTGCTAAATGCAAGGAACTCATCTAGATAATCTTTTTACGGACCAACAAATTGATATTGCAGATCTGCAGATCCTCGAATTGATTCGATGCAGATTCTGAGTCTTGACGACAAGTTTTGTCAGATAGCGCCATCTCTTCGATGCGCAAGGATATCAAGGACACGCACGCAAGGACATTCATTCAAGGTCGGGCATTTACATATAATTTATACGTATAAATTTAAATTTATATCTACATCTATTTTATTTAAACAATGAATTAAACTATGCTTAAGTATTATCTATGCAAACGATGCATAATAATAATTATATTACTTGAATAGAATTCATGTTGATTATATCTTTAAAATATAGTTTAAAATTAATTTTAAAATATATGTGGGTCGTCTGAAAAATTTTGAGCCTCAATACGAAGATAGCATTACTCGTCAAAATTATTTCGGTATTACAATCGTACATGCTTTGAAAGATAACTGTAAAAATTGTAAACATTTTGTACGCTCAGTTATTGTTTGACGATCATTTGTGCCAATCGATGTCAGTATTTTCGTAAAAATGGAAAAAAAACGAATATCGTGCCGTAATTAAATTCTTGCATTTGAAAGGCAATACGCCTACGAAAATTAAAGCCGAGTTAGACGCTGTTTACAAGGACTTTGCCCCATCATTTGCCACCGTGAAAAGATGGGCAGCTGAATTTAAACGTGGTCGTACCAGCTTGGCTGATAATGAGCGTTCGGGACGGCCAACAACTGCGACCACCACCGATAACATCGAAAAAGTTCACCAAATGGTACTGGACGACCGTCGAATTAAGATTAGAGAAATAGCAGAGGCTGTGGGCATATCGAAAGAACGTGTTTGTCATATATTGACTGAAGAATTAGGCATGCATAAGCTAACCGCGTGTTGGGCGCTTGCTCACTGTGGACCAAAAACGCATTCGAATGAACATTTCCAAGGCCCTGTTGGAGCGGTTTAAGCGAAACGAGACGGATTTTTTGCGCATTATTTGATGAATTTTATTTATGGGCTTTCGAATGGAACCTATATATAAATGGGCTCATGGGTCTGAGAATTTCCGTATGTATAATATCAAATTTAAGAAATATATTTTGTAGAGAAAAAGAAATATACATTTTTTATACTTATCTACATTTCGAATTATAATAATGGTATTTTGGAATAACACGTTTTTATTCCAAAAAGTCGTATTGTACATTATGATGTTGTTTCTGTGGCAGGAACAATCATCTCTCAGGATGTATGAATTTCTTCTATATTTATGTGAGCAATAAATCGTAGTCTCATTTGCAATGCGGGCCTCAATCTTCGTATAATACATTCCACTTCGTTTTTCATCATATCGCCAACAAACATGTATTTGATGTGATATCTGTCGTAGTTGTTAAGAAAAATACTATATGTTATATATAATTGATTATATAAATATGTATATCGATTAAATTAATTAAAAATGCTAATAAATATCTTAACTTTAGACAGGAAAATTGGATATGTCCCGAATACATTTTTTTTGTATTTAATATTTAACTTTCTGTATATATTATATTATTACATTAAAAATAAATAAGAAAATTATTCGATAAAAGCTGTTAAAATTGTCTCATGAACGATCTATCAAATTTTTGTGAAATTTGTTGTAGAATTATATGTACATAAAGGATACAATAAATCACAAACTGGATCTATATAATTCAAGAGTGTTTGAGTATGATCAACTCGTTCCAACATCTCGTACAGACAAACTGCAAGTTCAACTACACAATGTGGCCGTTCTGCATTAAATCTTGCCAACGTGGGACCAATTAAATGGCAAGCATATATTAATTGCTCTTCACTGCTTACGACTGGCTGAAGTTTTTCTTTGATAAATCTAAAAAAATATGTATATAAATATTTGTGAAATTAAAAATATAAATAATATAAAGTATAAAATAACTATAAAAGTTTCTATTTTTCAAAGTATATTAATCTTATCTTAATTTTATTTACATATGTAAAATCGCTACTTACTGAGGCATTGTTGTAATTTGTCCTACACCTGCGTGATGCCACACTGAATGTGCCAGTGCAAGCATGTAGCTGTATTTGTTTTCCAATAAGCTGTTATGTGTAGTGCTGAAGTTAAACATTTGAAATGGTGTCAAGTTATTGTATTGCCAATTAACCAGACCGGGGCTGCTAATGGTCTCTACTAAACGCTCATGCAACGCTGACCAATAACATTCTGGCAGTGCTGCCAGTAATAAACCAACACAGTTTATCCACAAATGTATTTCGTCTGCTGGCACAACGGTGTATCTGTGAAGAATAAATAATAGATAAAAATTACATAAAAATTTAATACCCTCATTATTATGCTTGTGTCATGATAGTCGACTATAAATATATGAGCAATATATATTTAAAAATAGAAAGATCATACCCTTTGGCAACAACGTCCAATAAAGAATTAGCTACCAGATTTGGAGCAACTGGCAGAGCTATAAGTTCAACGCAAGTCACGTATAACGCATGGGCAGCTGGATTTGGAAATTCGTTGAATCTCCAATCGGTAGCAGGAAAATGAGCCGTGCCGGACATCGCTTTAATACATACATAAGATAAACAAATTAAAATAAATCCTTTTCCATTATTTTGTTTATAATAAAAAAAACTATGAGTGCTTTGTTACAAGAAGTTTTAAATTGTCTACGAATAATATAAAAATGCAGAGAGAAACTTTATAATTTTCTTTTTGCATATTATCTATTTAGATTTTTAACAGATAAACTGCAATTTTAAAAAATTGTTAACGTTTCGATTAATTTTTATTCAATATTTTGTAAATTTATTTATTTTTATTTTTAAAAAAATTACGAGCTTCAAGACTGTGTAAACAAGAAGCTATATTTTCTTATGTTTCGAAAGATCAATTAAAATTATAAAATAAAAATTAAATAAAATTTTTGCTGCCTTACTTTCTACGATTCTTTGTACAAGGCGAATGTAATATCCCAATTCTGGTACCCATGCAACTGCATCGTCGCCGGAGCGTGACATGTACATTTTATAATCCTCGGAAAGCGCCCATCCTGGTGCTCTAATTTCCCGCAACGATCCCAAAACAGCGGACACCAATCGACGTTTCAACGACGGTCGATCTCGCAATTTCCTTTCGTAATAATGCAATGTATTGTAAAGGTACGTGACAGGTCGATCTGAAAAAAAATTGATGAATTACTTTCAATTCAAGAAATTTTAATTCACAATGCAATCTGCACAATCGAAAGAAATCTATTTCCTTTTACAGAATAACAATGAAATATATTTAAGCATAGAATCAAATTCGAACAATTCAATCTGAAATTAAATTCAAAATATATGCAGCAATAAAGTTTTTGATGTCTCACGTTTTAACAAAAATGATGTCTAAATACGTACCGTGGAATTTATATAAGCAGCCCAGATGTTCTAACAATATCTCCAAACTTTTGATAACAGGTGGTATCTCTAGATATCGATGCACGACTATGTCGAAGACCGGTAAAAAGCGGAGACATACATTCCCAAAATAGACGGGTAAACTCTGATATTGACTAGGCCCGCCGCTGGTTTGCTCCATGATACCTTCCGGTGCAAATTTTTCCGGAAATTTTCTATGGAAGGCAAGATGTTTCTCATGCCAATTCGACTGCTTCCAATGCTCCGGTGAATTCTCTTTGACAAATTCTTGTACGCGATTTCTGAACTCCGCCGCTTTCAGCAGCAACAATTGTATAATGAAGAAGCACACTTGCGCTTCGCTCCCTTCCTGAGTTCTTAGCGCCAAACACAGCACCAATCTGTCGATTGTTACTATATTGTACTTCCAGATCATGTCGTTAATAGTGTCCACACACTTGTTGACGTGTTGGCCGCCGACACTGTTGGCAAACTCGAACACTAGATAATCACAAAACTTTCTGAGATGAGCCGACAACGCTCTGGCTCCGATTCGCTCGAGAATTTTATACGCAATAGGACTTATACAATCCCTTTCCAATATCATTTTCCACAGCAGACATAAGAATAAAGGAGGCGTGCCTGGTACGGAGAAATGCGCGATTATGTCATTCTCATTGTTCATGGAGGACCAATTTCGATACTCCTCCTCAACTGCTTTCTTGATTTGCTGCTTGTTCTCCTTCGCGACACTGTTCTGCTGGAAGAACTCGCTCAACACTGGTGGGAAACATTGCAGCGTATGATTCGCCCAGGAGTGCGGCGTATTCTGCATGATGGTATTCAGCAGATCCTTGCACCATGTGCTACTGAGACTGTCTGCGCCGGTGCCAGTCACATGCATGGATCTCGCCAGTGTCAGCACTAACGCTCTATTAAGTTCCTCCGATTCAGCGGACACAAGAGTCTTCGGCTCCGACAGGAACCTGGATAGTTGCGGCTGCACTTCCGCCGAACCCAGACCGGTGATCAATCGTAGAGCCGTGCTTTCAACGCACAGATGAAGCTGCGTCTGATTAGTCTGCGGTACCGCTGCGAGACTATGAAGATGCGATAACAATTGAACTCTGTAGTGTGGTTGGATATGATGCATTCTGTAACTGAACATCTCCAACAAGGTGTAGAGCGTGCCCCATGCATGTGATTTAAATACCGTCGGCAACAATTGGCTGATGAACCCTTTAATACCGAGGCTCTCGATCTCTGTGTACACCAGCAAACGGCTATAAGTCTCGACGAGCGCCGGTGCTAACGCTATATTGCTCTTTGACTGCGCTAATTTAATCACATGCGTAACGATACTATGAATTAAACTCATTTTCGAGTGCACAGTCAAAGAATCCAATATAGACATTGAAAGGGGCGTGGTTGGACCGTTCGCCAGTGCCGCGTTATTCTGCAAAGTCTGCAAGCTTGGTTGCTGCTGCTGATTCTTCTGCGTACCCTGGATAGTATCCACTAGCGCGCCCATTGGTCTGCTGAAATATTCTTGATTCGTGGAATAGGCATTGCACAAGAGGGCAATACGATAATCTGAACCCATACAGAGAGACGTGTTCGGCATGACCAAGTGTTGCAAGAATTCATGATGGACCTTCAGCGTATGCGGTATCGGTCTGTGAATGTTGGAGTGATCAGCCTGAGCTTTCTTCAGCAAGTGTATCCATATACATGTAATAGCCATCTGATGAGTGCAGAGCGCTTGAGTATAATCGGGAACGGGCAAGGGCTCCTTCTCCGGATAGAGAAGATCGTACAGTTTCAGCACAGGTAAGAAATTTGACAAAGGATTTCGTTGAATGCTGCCGGAGATGAATTGCAGAAGGACCCACATCAAGTGATCTCTACCTTTTCTTAATTCTCTACCCGCTAATTTATCATGTATCGCCATGACGATACTCGGGAAACAAGCAAATTGGAAAAGAATAAAATAAATTAGCTGCGAGGATAGATGTAACCACACCCAGTGATTGGCTACAGTGCCGTCTGTGCCTTCCGCCGGTAAGGTTTCGTTTTCGGATCGTTCCATCGCTTGAATGACGAGCTCCACAAGCTGCTCCTCTAAGACAATGCACCGTTGCTTATGCTGTAATGTGGATAAAAATATATTACGATCGATACATACAATGTGTTCCAATGTGTAATAATAATGCATAATAAAAAGATTTAGCTCATTTAAATTTGTTGTGTACCATAGTTGTAATTTTTTTCGCTTAATTTTTACGTTTATTCCATGTTAATGTTTTATATAACTTGATTCTATTTTACCTGTTTTTGTAAACCAAGCATTGAGCAGACCATATCTCTACTATATGGTTGCTCCAGAACATATCTGAGCAGTTCTGTTTGAGGTTTAAGTAAATCTGGCTCATAAGGTAAATTTCCTTTCAAAGAAAACTTCAATGTAATAGGATCCAATAACCAAGGATTAATTAAGTGATCTGCGTATCCCGTATGCTCAACCACTGGTAACATTTTTGAATGTCCTACTATAGACACCATTTGCGCCGTGTTTCGAAAACTTTCAACAAAATTGGAGAGCAATTTTGCTAGTCTCTGAAACAGATATATAAAATAAGTAAAAAAAAACACTTTCTTACAAAAATATTCTTACAAATATGAAATTTTGAAGTATTTTTTGTGTTACCCTAATTTGTTTCTACTTACATAATGTTACATAATATTATGCTTATAAAGTTTTAATTATTGTAATTTAAAAATTGTGTTAAAAGCATAATTTTTATACACTTTTTATATAATGTTAAAGCATAATTCAATATTTTTAATGTTACCCAGTGAGGCCAGTTTTTGCTATCAGGATAGGCTTTCTGTATCTCATTGACAATAAAATAACCCGGCAATAAGCACGCATTTCTCTCAAAAATATATTCAATAACGTTCTCCAAAGCTTTTAGTTGTGGTTGTACAGATGCATCTAATCGAGGTGGTATAGTTTGGGCCTTTTCTTTGCATCCCTAATAACATAAATTTAATTACAAATTAAAATATTAAATATAAATTACAGACAAGTAAATTATTTACAAGTATTTTAAATTTGAAGTAAGCGCACACAATTAAGATTACAAGAACCATCATTATTTTATATGTATATTGCAAATAAATTGTAATAGAGCCATAAATACCTACTTTCATGATCTCTCTGACTCCCTTGTAATCAACTCCACCAATGATATTCCGAATAAGGACAAAGCATTCAACCCAAAAATCTGCCAATTGATATTGCAATTTATCACAACTCAAAATACATTCGCATACTAACCTGAAAAAAGATTTATAAAAAATAATTTATAATACAGTGAAAAAATAAGGATAAAATAAGATTTCACTTATCTAACAACATACCTAGCGGGTAAATAATTTGATTGCACCAAGTTTTGTAGCAATGATAGTAGTAATTGTAATCGTCTGTGGTTAGTCATAGCTGCTGCCATTGATAAAAACTGACGAACAGCAGCTTCCTGCTGCTCCTTTGGCAATCCAGTCATCAGTCCTTTTAGTTCGTTTTGCCATGTTGCTACCTTGTCACTGTCATTGTTAGGATGATGAACAAGAACGCAACTGAATGCTTCCTCTATCGCCTCTACTTTCTAAAATACATAACTTGTGAATATACAGAATGTATTGTAGCAAAAATGATAAATATAGAGAAATTATATATATTGTATCCAATATCAAACATTTTTAATACTTACCAAAATGTTATTTACAATATTGGCAATCTGACTTTCACTTGACATCTTCCTTATAATTAATTAGCAGTAATCTTTATTTTTAGAAGAATCAATTGTCAAATTCTTTGTGTTCTCTCGTACTCTAGGAATTAATTTAATAATTAGTTATTATATTCATAAACACACACATATAACGTTAAGATGCAAAACTGTGTAACTGCAACTGATAGTTAGCAGTTTGTTCTTCGGCGCCAGAAATACTTTGTGTATAAATATTTGTGCATCATATTGATTAAATCTTTATTACACACATCTTTATTACACACATATTATCCGTATAAATTACTATCTAATTTTTAATCAGCAATAACCTTAGCGGGGTACAAATGTAAGGTTTGTCTTTTTTAGCTAAACTGGCTGCACTAGTTCAGAGTCTATCTTTCTCCTTCCAATGTGGAGAAAAAAGATAAACTCTGAACTAGTGCAGCCAGTTCAGCTAAAAAGAACAGACCTATAGTTTCAAATAGTTCAGTAATCATGAATATCTAGATATGCATTCGAATAACCTTGTGCATTATGCAGAGTGCACATGTGTCTGCCATTTAACATCCAATAGAAAAATTTGCTACAGAAATGAACAAGCTTTTGTTCTTACCATTTTATATATCAATTCATCAAATGCACTGATTGCCTATCGAATAAAAAAATATCTAAAGTTTTTAAAAATCTCTTTCCTAATATTCAATGAGCGCGTTGAACGAAATAAAATAATAACATGATTCATCTTCAGGCTCGATTTTCACATGACTTCTTTCATCACTACCGGAAGTAGGGGGATTCTGCTTCAGGCAGCAGACGATGTAACGTGGCGTGCGGATAGAGCAGTGCAGAGCAGTGTTCGTCAGTGTTCATTTTGTTTCGGTTGTCGTTCTGATCCACATCCTTGCGCATAGAGCTGTGATAAAGAGCGACGAAGCGGTGCTAGTTGTGCTGTTGAGGCACTGTTAGGTGCCTTGGTGCATCGTGGGAAGGGGGGCCTTTGCGGTCACGTGACCGAGCTGCGTTTTCGAGCGCACTAACCCAGGTACGAAAGCGAATTCGTTGTTTTTCTCGTGGTCTTTCGCGCGCCACGGCCCCAAGCGCCGAGGTGCCGTGAATCGTCGTACGTTTTTTGCTCGCAGTCGCGCCCGCTCGAGTACGCACACACCGCCTACGCATACGCCGTGAGTTATCTGAAAAAAAGATCCTTGCGCCTCGGCCATTCTGAGACTCCGTCGGGAATCCATGAATGCACCGCCGCGGCGATGGTTGACAATCCTTCCTTACGCAAAGCAGAAATGGCGTCCGGCCGTGCACATGGCCCTCTGAAAATATTTCTCGTCCGCGTGTGACTCGCATACATCGCGTGCCGCTCGTCCCGATAGCCTGCGTTCCGTTTCTGTACAGCGTGACCCGACTTCCGTTTATATACCGCCTTTCTTCGCTTCGCCCGCGAGGTGCCTTCGCAACCGTGCAACGCGGCGTGCGAGCGGCCTGACGACGCGCCCGACGAGGTGTTCTTTTTTTCCACAATTGAATTCTCCGACGCGCAACATTGAGATTCCACCGCCGAAATTTTCCCTGGGAAATTCCATGTACGACGCGTAAAGAGTTTCCCGCCGTGCCGACAATACTCGCTTGAGGCTCTTAAACATGCTCACTCGTGTTTCGACCGTTGATTTTCCTGACGAAATATCGTGGATCGTCATTAATCACATTGTTTTACGTATCGTCATCGAGCAGGAAGCAGTTCGGATTCTATCGAGACAATCGTCGAGGCGATAAGCGTTGATATTTTGTTTAACTTTCGTTATCGTCCCTGAATGGACTTTACATTCTTTATTTATCGTCGCTAGATGATCTTAACTTCGTATATTTTGTAAGCTTTTATGGGTATTTAAAAGCAGTTATTCACACAAAGGTTTTCTTTTTTTTTTTTTTTATGCATATCTAGAAATGAGAAATATATTAATTGTATAATATTTTATCAATTTGGTGTGCAAGCTTAAATTTTTAAAAATAATTTACCTTTCTTAATATTGCACATTAGTAATAACAAAGATATCTTTTGTGATACTTTCCTATGAAAAAAATTTTAGTTGTGTTTTATAAACTTACAAAGAAATGAAGTTTTATTTTTACATTAATTTTGAATTCATTTGGGATTTATATATAATTTAAAAATATAATTGATACGCATGAAAAACATAATTAGTTGGAAAATTAGTAACAAATACAAAGAATGTAAATGCACAGCTAGTATTGCGATAAAATTTGGAAAGGTGCTTTTATAATACCTGCAAATATAGCTTAATTTCTGATACTTAATTTATCTTGAAGGTAATAGTTATTGTTTTGCAAAGCAAGATATATGTGTGCTAGGGTATATTGCTCAGCTTCTTATTTCACCATACTTCTGCGATAACGAAAACAATGCATTATTAGAAATCACACAATTTAGTAGCTATAATTAGATCTGTAATGGCTAATATATTCTGTTTCAGATTGTAAATAGAGAGTGTACATAGTGTGATACTGTGAGTGCTTAGGTGTGTGGGATTTTAGTTGGCAATGAGCTCAAGCAACAAATCCCTGGTGTCCTCTGGTGGAAGAGGCACCAATAAAAACAAATCACAACAACACGGCAAATCAGATCATCAGTCTAAAACGGATTCGACAAAACATGACAAGGCCCAGGTTAGTATAATTAAGAATATTTGTAATGATATGTCTATAGAAACACTGCACTCAATATATTAAATAGCAGCAATCTATAAAACATTATTTCTCATAAAAAAATTTCAGCTTCTGTAAATAAATATGTATTTTTAACAAAATTTTCAATAAATATGTTTCTTTTATTTAAGCAGAGTAAAAGTACAGAGAACAAATACAAACATAGATAAATGCATATGTGACGTTTGTAATTCTAAAACATTTCTAAAATTCAATCGTGTTTGTTTCATACAGCAAAACACAAATCAGATCCGGCACGCACAAATTATCGACACCAGAATGGCGGGAGGTGAGGACCCCCTTCTAAAGGAACGTATTAAGGAAGTCATGGCTATGACTCAACGTTCGGAAGACGCGGTTATCACGGCTCTGCATGACAGTGATGGTGACTTGGAGCGTGCTGTCAACGATCTTCTGGAAGGGGGACAAACAGAATGGGAGGTGAAAAAGAAGAAGCCTCGTCAGCCCAGCGGTTCCAAGCAGAATACGGATCAGTCCGGTGGTCAACAGGACAATGGCGACTGGGAAGAACGCCGCAACCAACGTAGCGGCGGTCCTCCGCGTATGCGAGGCCGTGCTAACCATGACAACCGTGGATGTACGTTTAATTATTTTCCTTAAAATTTTACAACACTATTCGAATTATTTAGCTATAAAAAGTTTTTTTTTATATTAGTTTATAGTTAAAAAGTCAATAGAGATTTCTAAGTCTTTAAATTATTTTACAATAAATTACAATTTGCGTAAAATTGTTTGTCCACAAATAGGGCGTGGGCGAGAAAACAAAGAGAACGAGAGAAACATGGAGGATGGTGTTCGCGATGGCGGCAGTTACAGCAGAAGAGGTAGGGGTGGACCAGGAAGATCAGGTCGCGGAGGTCGTGGTGGTGGTAGAAGTCTTGGACCTAGGACTTTTGCGAATCGCAATGACCCGTCGTCTACCTCCACTGCTCACAGCTTTAATCGTCCCATCGACACCTGGACTGGTAGCGAAGAACAGCAACAAAGTATTCAGGAACCAAAAATGGGTAAGTTTTATTCTATTGATTCCCTCGGACAAAATTTGTTTTTTTTTCCTCTTCTCATCAAATCATGGCTGGATTTTGAACATTCTACGTTCTAACCCGGAAACAAGAAGCTCTGATTTGTACTCCCCACATGTACATTGTTCAATGCGTACAATTGAACATGTACATTAAATTACTGATAACGCATATCCAGATGCTTGGCAAAATTTGGAATCCACAGAAGATTGGGACAACGAGGAATACACGGGGTCTTTGGCAGATACCAAGGTCTTCACGCCGAGCGCGAATATCCTGGAACCTCCTCCTGCTCTAGAAGAACCAAAGCCTCAGGAACTACCGTCGACGCAAGCCGGTCAAGGTGTCAATCTCTCGCTGCTTCAGCAGGAAGTACGATCTTACAAAGTACCTAATAGCATTATTTCACATTGTTAATGCCTTTTCGCATGTTTCACACTTATATACACTTTTTCAAATGCAATTTGCAGGAACTACCGAAACTCTCTGAAATGTCTACGATGCAGCAGCAGAGTTTACTGCAGCAACAACCTCAACAACCGCAGCAACAGCAGCAGCCGCAGCCAACTGTATTAAGCTTACCGACGTTGCAGTTGTCACAGCAACCCAGCGCTATTAGCAGCGGCGTACTAACGGCGGCGCAAACTCAATATCTGACGCAACTCACTCAGCAGACGAGCGAAAGCTTAAAAGCGGCTGGGCAAACGTCGTTTTCATCGTCTGTATCCAGTCAGGTACTGCAATATTTTTACATTACATAATTAATCTTCTGACGCTAATGTTTATTTGAAATTTTTAATTGGTTCGTGTACTTACACTTGCAGCCTCAAAGGCAAGCAAAGCAACGTCCAAGAGTTCCTCCACCGTCAAAGATACCGTCGAGCGCCGTAGAGATGCCGGGTGACGCGGTGAACAGCGGAATGGGCTACCTCGATGTGCAATTCGGCGCGCTTGAGTTCGGCAGCGATTCGGGCTCCCTCGACGGTTCCGCGAATGAAAAATACAATTCGACAAATAGTACAATTCCTGGTGTGGACATGACTTCCGGTGCGAACGCTGTGAACACTGCCAACACGAGTAATTCACTCGATATTGAAACTACGCAAACTTCCACCGCACCCTTCAACGCCAGTTCTCAGATGGTAAGTTTCACTCTTGATGATCCCATTACAGTTTCGTTAACACGCACATCTTTCAATGTATACTTTATATATTTTTAGCTGTCGAATGCCGACAACCTGCCGGTGTCGAGTGACCATTCGATAAATTCCCAAAGCTTCACCGCTCGCGGAAGCAGTACTGGCCAAAGTTTGGACATAACTAAGCAAGACTTCACGTCGCAAGTCTCGCCTGGAAATGCACCGACGTACGGCGCGTCGACGACGTACCAGGCATCGCAGAAATCGTCCTTCCAGCCGTCAAGCGGCACGCCGAGCACTTACAACGCGTATTCGACGAATAGCCAATCTTCACAATCTACCTTCCAAACGGCGTCAGCCGCCAACACGAATAGTTACTCCGCGACAGCGACGGTATCGCAGGCGAGCTACAACTCGTCGACGTCGTTCCCGCAATCAAACGCGTCAACCTTTAGTCAGGCTTCTCCTTCCGCATCGGCGTCCGCGACTTCCGGTTATAATCAACCCACCACTAGTAGCCAGGTAATGGTACAAATCGATTTCAATTTTTTTTTCCCCCATAAAAATATTCAACAATGCTGAGACTATTTCTTGGAATAACTTATTCTCTCGATAGGTTTACCAATCCGCGAGCGGATATGTACCGGCTACGACATCACAATATCAAGCGCAATCCGTAGCTACTAATACTGTGTCGAACAGCAACGCTGGATATCAGGCGTATCAGCCCCAGGCTTATCAGTCTTCTGTGACGACGTTCACGTCACCGATAACGCAAAGTTCTGGTGCTTACCAGAGCGCCGCGCAGTCTGTAAGTATAAGTTACTATCGTGTATTTTTATCACACTTTGATTATGCAATAAAAATGCAATTAAAAACTAGCGTTTTGTTGCGATGCAAGTTTTATAAATATCGAACTGATGCTTGACAGGTATACGCGAGCCCGTACGGCAGTTACGCCAGCCAGCCGCAAGCGGCGTCTCACAATCATAAGCTGAACAGCACCGCGACGAAGGACTCGCAATACGACAGCAGCGCGACGACGTCAAACAGTTCGCTCGCGACGACCAGCGCGCCGACGTTGGGTCTCACCTCGGCTTCCGTAAACAGTTCACAGACTAAAGTTACGAATTCTAATGGTTAGTAGATGCTTGGAAGCTTACTTGAAATCAGTTTAACAACATCTATCTCTATCATTGTGCGTCGTAGCTATTATGATGCTTACACATTTAACGATGGTGATATTGTTAGAAAAAATGAGTACAAAGTAGATACATATTCTGTTCGATTAGCTGTACCAAAAAGCACGTCGAGCGGCGTAGTGACAGGCAGCAGCGGTACCGGGAACATGACGGGCGGTGGTGCGGCCGGAAGTATGACTCCCATGCTGAGTCATCAGTACATCATGGGTCAGGGTGTGCCGTATGCAACCTTCCAGCAACCCGTGTACAGCTACGAGGATTTACAAATTGTGCAGCAGAGAATACCGCACATGGTCAGTCACTGCTCGATTCTTCATTAGTTCACTCGTTTCTCTATATTTATTCAGGTGTTGGGTTGCTGCGAGTGAAACGGTTGTTTTCGAAATTTAACCTTTCAGACTTTTAGACGGCGGAAAGTTCGCGTTATTAAGATTCGCCATTTCATTTGCAACAACCTGACACGAATATGCATTGTTCGGGGGTGACGCTTCTTCGAAGTAACGTACACGGACACAAAGCATGGTAGTTTGATCATTTGCCGTTTCGATCGCGCGCAATGCGCACTTGGAACGATCGGTCCCCACTGGTGTGCTGCTTCGAAGCGCGCTCACTCCACTCTATGTTATTATTATATGGTACGAAGATTGCCGAGGTAATCGTTTCTTTATTGCTTGGTAGCTGCTCCTGATTCCAATATTTTTTCTACGATTTCTCAATCTCCTCTGAATGCCTTCACGATGAAAACACACACAATTCTTATTTATAGTGTGCCGTTCATGAAACAATTACGGTAGTAAAGACAGATCGGGTTTTCAATACTTCATGCAGAAAATAGCTGGGAGAAGTATCATATCTCTCTCTCTCTCTCTCTTTCTTTCTCTCTTGGAAACTAAAGCTTATTGGAAATTTAGATGCTTTAGCCACGAGATTGTTTCGACTTCCGATCTATCTTGACTCGTTTCCTTCTTCTCTGTCTTGATTAAATTTAGGCTGTACACGAGTGATGTTGCGTGTCTGAGACTGTATGAAGGTAGGCGTGGTAATGTGGTGAAAGTGGTTGATGAAAGTTGTATTATATATTTTGTAGCTAGTCCTTTTTACTTGGGATATTTTAGACTATATGAATATTGGGCGGCGAATGAGCGAATGACGGAGCGATGAAGTTCGTGCATAACACGGTCACATGTGCATTCTTTCGTAGCTCGATCTATCGCGAATGACAATTCCAGCCGGATATGAGTACCTTGATATCTTTTACATAGCAAGATCTAGATCTCCAACCAAACCGCATGTTTACTTGTCCCCAGCCCGGTACGCGTAGAGAACTTAGACGTTAGTTAGCCTTCTTGTATTTGGAGTACACAGTGTATGCATGTAGTTTTGTGTTTGGCCTCCCTCACTAACGTGCAGCCAACTACTGGTTACTATGACGCGGCGCTGGGCTATCAGACAACTGGTCCCGCTACAAGTCTCGGTGGTGGCAGAGGCGACGCGCTCTCCGCCGTGCAGGGCGTTCAGGGTGTCCAAGGGGTGCAGGGAGCGTATACCAGTATTAGCGACGCCAGATTTGCCAGAAACGACAGCAACGCGTCTCCAGTTCCTTCCACGATGTCGCAGCAGGTGAGGGACAAGATCGCGATCGAAACGATCCGCCCCGCGTGAAACGCGATGCGCGAAAACTTACTGGAGTTCTTTTGCAGACCGCCACGCAGCATCAGCAGCCGATGATGAATCCCACACTCCCTCCAGGATACGCATACGCATTTACGTACGGCAGCGGCATCATGCCGGGAGGTTTTCAGTACGGAACTCCCGCCATTTATCCGGTAGATTTCGTGTTTTTCTCACACTTTATTCCAGTTAACGAGCTGTTTCTCATACCGAACCGATTTGCATTGTAGCAAATAGCTACGGCCGGCAATGCTGGCACGAATAGCGGCGCGTACAGTGCTAAGCCTGGTAGCTACGGGTCTGGCTACGGCGCTGGCGCGAGCTACGACGCTTTGGCTTCCGCTGGTCCGTCCGGCGAGTACAAGGGCGCTGGTAGCAGTTACACCGGCACCCAGACCGGCAAGACCGGCACTTCCACGGGAAACACTAACACCGCTGGCTCCTCTGCGACGGATATCAACGCCACGATGTATGCCAAGAGTCACGTGGCTCTCAGCAAAGTAAACGTATGTTGTTTTTTTTTTCAGACAACGAACGACGAATATCTGTATGTTATACAGATCTTTCCTTCAATGGACTTTCTTTACTTTATTGCAGTCTTACGAGAAACAAACTTTCCACTCGGCTACTCCGCCGCCGTTCGGTCTCACGGGCAACCAAAACGCTGGCCTGCCTGGTGGTTACGGTGCGCCACATCTCTTCATACCGACGATGGCGCATCAGTTGCACCAACCGCTCCATCAAGACGGCAGCAATAGTACTCAGAGGTCCAACACGAGTTCGCAGAACAAACCTCAAACAAAGCCTGGATATAGTCCTAGTTACTGGACCGGAAACAACTAAAAGAACAGTTTGGACTTGATGCGACGTCTTGCTAGAAATAAAATTGCTTACTATTGTTAAATTAATTCGGGAGAGAAGTAAGATATTTTATATCTAGTGTATACAGAATCAAGGATGTGAACAAACGCAATATCTTAACAGGGATGTGATTAATAACTTGCTGTCAGAGAAATATTTATAAAATTTCGCAGTTTCAAAGTACATATCCATCGATGGGGCGAGGCAATATATTTGTGACAAATTGTCTTTTGTCTATTATTTGTATTTTATTAAAAATAAAAATAAGGCGTAGCAATAATAAATAAAAAATTTGCTAATCTTTCACGATAATAATCTAATTTTTCTCGTCATTAAGTTAGCACATTACTTCGTTTAATCAATCATTGAATGATATGAACTTGGAGGAGTGAATACTTTTATAAATGTTTCTTTTAATGGCAGATTAATCTTATTGCTATTAAGATGTTGCATTTGTTCTCGTTGGTTCTGTGTATCGGATATCAAGTATCTGACTTCTTTCCAATAATAGTGAAGGATTTCTTTTTTTACTGGCAAGATGTTGCGTTTACTTTTGAAACTTGAACTGTATAATATAACCGAATGTGAGCTCAAAATAGGTTGTTCTATTTACTGCTGCAAATCAGAGAAAAAAAGCATCTGGTATTGCATATATGTATGCAATATATATATGCAATTATTAACTCGGTGCTTCCTTCTATGATTTGCAGTAGTAACGGAACAACCAAATTTGACCTATTTCAGTTATGTTATATAATTTATATTATTGTTTTATTTGTTCGGTTCAGCGCACTCGCAATCTTCTCCAAGAGACTGGCATGGAACGCGATACCACATGAAATAATTTCTTGCATTTTATGCGACGGTATATGTGCAAATCTTGTATAATTGCATATTCTTTATAACTGTAAATTGCGCTCGTGCCAAAAGAAATTATAGCGTTTGCAATTGCGGTGATCGAGTCCACAATTGGTCAACCACCATCAATTGAGTTTTGTATCAGGTTTTCCTTCTGTATATGACAGTGCAATTTTGAATGTATTGTATTGACAGCGAAAAGGGTAATGGTGCGTTTCTAGATTGTTTTCTTTTCTCTTTTGTATAATGTAAACGCAAATGTGTAACGCACATTGTAACTTCGGAGATTCCGATGGAATAAATGTAAATTCAGTTTATCACGATCGTACGAAAAAAAATGATCGGATTTACGTTTTACTACGTCGAATTCTCCCGAGTTATAACTTGCGTGAGAATCTCACATTTAAAATTAAAATTTAAAAAATTGCTATACTTTTTGTTTTTTATTTGTTTAATGATTTAGATTTAGAAACATCGTTACTTTAGCTCCTATCAATAATGGTTTCTTCTTTTATTACAATTATTATGAAAAAGGTGCAAATGTCGTTTATTGTTGCTGCCAAACGTCATCGTGTTTGTCACAAATCTCACTGATCTCTCAACTTGATCGCTGAATTTTCAAAGATTGTGGATTCAGTGGATTCTTGGAACTTTTCAGACATAGATAAGGAGCTGAATCTACGATCGTAACAATTTACAAAATTAAAATATTTAAATAACATCTAATAATCCTATTTAGTTCTTCCACTGCTTAAAAGATAGCAGTATATTTTTTCTTAAAGCGAAATGTTTGTGAAAGTGATAAAGATTTGAAAGAATTTCAACAATAAATAATTGTTTTATTATCTAATGATAGATTTAAGTTAAAAATATATTTGAAAATTTGGCAATTAAAAGTTGAACGCGATCAGTAAGAATATGATACGAACGTAAAGTAACGATGTGTGGATGGTAATAATGAGCACATTTTTTAATCGTTTTTATAATTGCGATAAAAAGAGAAGCAATTATTTATTCCGTCTGGTGTACACATTCATTAATATTGCACTATTTACGCCGATGAGAAATGCGACCTGTACAGTCATATGCATATTGACCGGAAATAATACATTGACCAACACGGAACACACATATTTTGAAAACATACTTTACACATTTTTGCATTGTGAATAATGAATGATCGCAGATAATCCTTCGGTGAGAAAAAAAAAACTAATGAAAAAGATAAAAGTGAAAACAACGTACGTCGAACGAGCGAAAGAAATGTATGTGAAGCGTTTTCACAAAGGTGCTGTGAGAATTGTTACAATTTGCGCGTGTACGATAAACGATGAAGAAACGATGTTTCTTCTAGCACGAATGGACAGACGGACCGACAAAGCTTTACCGAGTATCGCTAAATGTAAGCGAAAAGTAAATAGTTGTAAGTAAACTCTCGTTAGTCGACTGCATATATATAAATATATAAATACATAAACTCGTATAAATGCGATAATGAGTAGGATGCGTTTTGAAGAACTTGGAAGACCAAAATGTAGATTAGCTTCCTTTTTTTCGGAGAAGAGTGTAAATCTGTACTCATGAGCTCTCTCTCGAGAGAGAAGTCGGGCTACATTGTCTTCGCCGTAGTCCCGCGAATGTGGACTACTAAACCGCTCATTTCTGATACACGTTTTGAATATGCATACGGCCGGCACCGATGGAGGAACGAATTGGTGAACCGGCCAAGAGAAAATCAAGTAACATTTTCGTTCTATCTTAGTGTATGTTTTAGTCGATTCGCACTCCCCCTTGTATACTCGAATCAATTTAGGACAAGATAATATAAGTGTAATGTATAATGGAAAGTAAGGGGAAAATATGCAAAATATAGAAGAAATGGAGGAAAACAAAAAAAAGAGATAAGATTCTGAGTAAGCACGTTTGTTCTCATAACAATTATTATACATTAATAATTTTTGTATTTTTGTCAAATATTAACCGATTGAAACGAGAATGCAAAATGCATTAAGCCACTATTGCTACTATATAATTAATAATAATAATGATAGCTACTGTGTATAAATATGGATATATAAGAATAAATGTATTAAAGAAGTCTTGTGATTTACATACCCATGGTGCAAACTTGTATTTCGCTTCTACATTTAACGCTACATTCCTAGATTTTTCCAAGTATTTTTTCCCAATTATGTTAAAATCCTTTTCTGAAACCATTATAAAAGTTACAAAATGCCTGCTTGTCATATTTGTTTATTTTCAAATTTTAGAACATTTCTTGAACATGTTTGTGCAAAACGTAATCTCTTTGTGGTTTGACGTAACATCAGATTCTTTATAATGTATTATACGATTTACAATTATAATGAGTAATTCTTGCTGAATCAGCAGATGATACTTCAAAAACAATTTTTAATATAAACGCTTTTAATTTAACGCTGTTAATTTTGTTAATACAAATATTTGTTATATGTGTGTAAAATAAATTAATATTTGAGCAAAGGCGTTAGAAATTTAATTATAGATCTTCAAAAATTAGATTCATGTAAAACAGAAAGTTAATGTGTAAATATAAAGAAAAAATATTTTAATTTTTGTTTAAATATTTAAATTTGCAACTTTACTACGGTTTACCTTATATTCTGTGTTTTTCCTCTTATGAAGATGTTTTCTTAATACTATGCCGGCCCATCGGAGTTCAAACTACTCTTGCAATGCTCTTGAAATTAATTTCAGTTCTCAAACATAACCTCAAAGAAATTGAAGCAAACTGACGGTTGAAAAGAATAATTAATCGAATGTTATAGATCAATGGTATCTGAAAGTGCGTTCTTTAACGATGTTTAATATTGAAAAAACTACAAATAAAAATAAAAAATTGTTACGTAAACAAACATATTTGAAACCACCAGAAACAGTATATATTATTCACAAGTGATGCATATTTATTAATTAAATAAAAATGTGAATAAAAAGAATATGTTGGTAATATTCTTTTTATTTTGCTTTACTTCTGACAGTATTGTTTACACGAATCTCTTAACAAAAGTTATTAAATTTGCCAATATATGTATAAATTCGTGAATTTTGAAATGGAATTCAACAATATTTACCAATGACAGAATCACAAAACAATATTATTGAAAGCACATCGCAAAAAATGGCTACTACCTGGCATCAACAAGTGTTTGCACTCGATGCAAAATACAATACATTGCGAGCTAATAAACTACCTAATCCTAGTTTAGGTATGTTTTATTTGTATCATATTTTATTATCAAACTGATCAGTTTTAATATCTATGAGATTTTATTACAGGTATGTTATACATTCGTCGAAGGAATCAGCTGCTCCGTGAAAAACTATCCAAAGATCCAGAAATTGGTGCACAATATCTGAAATTGAGATCAGAATTATTACATCGGCGTTACGGAGAGAGGCAAGAGCAGAATAGTGTGGGAAGTCACACAATCAGCGAAGAATCATCGGAAAACAAAATAAAGCACCACCTTGTGCAACGAAAATCAACAGCAGAGAACTTTGCATTTGCTGGAGTCCATCATGTTTTTGATCAGCACAAGACGGCCGTAACAATGCTCAAGTTTGCCAACAACGACAGATCCAAATTGTGCTGTGCATCACTGGACGGTACACTGTCCATATGCGAGGTCATAAGCACATCTCCGAAAGTAATCGCTCTCTTGGAAGGTCATCGTAACGGCGTGACTGCACTCGATTGGAGCATTAGCAACGATCTGATAGTTTCCTCCTCTTTGGATGCAACAATAAGGCTTTGGAGAGTATGCACAGACGCAGAGCCGGTTTGCTTGCGAGTAGTGAATGACCAACAACGAGCAGAGGTTTTATGCTGCAATTTCATACCTGCCAATAATAATTTAATAGTAGCTGGCAATTCTCAGGGATTGATTCAGATCTCGAACGTATCCACCGGCATATATACACGCGGCGGATCTTGCAAGATTGGTGGAAAGGTCGGTATTTATTCTTGAGAAGAAAAGTAATAATACGAGGAAAAGTTTATACCTAAATTATCATGCAATATTTCTAGATTCTTTCCCTCGCATGCGAGGGCAGCGGTGGTTCGGTGATCTGGGCCGGCAATGACAGAGGTGTTATAGTGTCTTTCCGATTGGAACCTGGCATAGGACGGCTGACAAAGTTGCAAAGAGTACAGGAGACCGGTGGGATGATAACTAGTCTTTCTTGGCGCTCCTGGCTATCCAAGGATGCGCCTTGGGCAGCGTTGCTGGTGAGCAGCGCGTGCAACGCCGTATTATTATATCGCGTTGCGGACAATCACGGTTCTTTATGCTTCTGGAGAAAGTACCCTGTCAAGCATAGGTATTATTTTATCGTAAAAAAAAAAAACTCGTTCTCACTTCAACGTTTTTATTCAACATGTTTTTTCGTAGGCATTATCCATTGAGATCTACCTTCTGCCCACAAATGGGCGCGTCTTTAATAGCCACTGGATCGGAAGACGGGGCTATTCATCTGTTAGATTCAGCGAGGGAGGGAAAAGCCGCAAGAATCAATCGGCTGCACGGTCACGCAACGCCTACATTAGCTTTATCGTTTAATTATGATGAGTCTCTATTGGCATCCGCGGATCACGACGGTCTGATTATTCTATGGCGCAATCACCAACGTCATTTGTGAAGTATTACTGCGTAGAGCATTCATTAAACTAAAAAATTAAAATAAAATTTATATTTCTCGTAGAGATTCTGTAGTTCTAAGACAATTTAGTAAAAAATAATATAATACAATATCAAGAGTGTAGTATAAAGTGCGATGTATAAAGTTGTACATAGATTCATTCAGCGTAAGATAATAAAGATGATTTTAATATTAACACTTGTGTATATCAAAGTAAAGCTATCTACTCTTGAATAAAAATATAAAATTCCTAAATTAGATAATCGTAGAAAATAAGGGCATTTGAAAACACGGTTTGATGAAATAGACAGTTTCTTTTTCTGTATAACAATATATTAATTGTTCTCTATCTTATGTCATAGTGAGCACAAAGCAGTATCAGTAATAATAGGTGTAGTAATAGCGAGAGACGTGACAGCACTCGCTGTCAATGAGTGCTACGACAGCAGTGATTTGTTTGCATATCTTCTCAATGTCGCGCATACTTGTGAAACAATAGTGGCACAAATACCCACGCAGCTTTCATTGGACGTTAAAGCTATACTTACACGTTTCGATACTGTTTCATTGATTCGTTCTAGCAGTCTCTCTGTGTCCAATATGAATAATTATACAACGAGGTACATTATCGCAAAAAACAAATACTTGTAAAAATTTCTCTAAAACGGTATTTGCGAGCATATATTTATCGCGCGAGTACTTTAGATCTATTTTAGAAATATCTTTTACAGTGAGATATCGAATTGTATTGACGATTATTCGTATGTGTCGCATACTTTCATACGGTATTTAAGCAAAGAATATGCCATAATTGCGTCGAGTTATGTATTAGAGTAAAAGTGAGTGAGATTTGATACTTCCGTTACATCACTATAGAAAAGAAGATTTCTGATCTTGCATCACGTATCCGAGGAAACAAATCGGATTGTCAGATTCTCGCTTTGGAACGATATGCGCGAAACGCCAACTCAAATATATTTGAAATTCATCACGAGGATTCGTCTTCTTTCTTCAATATAAAACAGATCGATATACGCATCGCATTTTCATCACAGATCTAATGAAAGTAAAAGTCTATCGAGATATCGTGTATACATCGTGTAGAAAATTAGTCGTGCAAGTACAATATTTTCATGTTCATCGTCGAGAGTCTTCATAAGCGGAACGGTGCGTCCCGTATACTTTCCTGTACAATACTTTGATAATAGAGAGCAAATTTGTTAATAATATTGAATTAATATCGAGAGAAACGCGTGATAATAAGTGTTGAGTAAAGAAGAAAGAATGGACGTGCAAAAACGATTCACATGTCCCTTGTAGAGGAGTCATAAAAATAATCGTGTCATTCTACATAGGCACTACTGCTCATTTATAACGATTACGCTACAAACAATAACTATTTACACGCGCGATGCGAATTGTTCATCGTGATTTCGATGTAGCTTTCTACAAATCGATTGTCTAGAATTAATATTTCTGTGTCCGCTTTTTTACAATACGAGCTTTCACTCGTTCAGTTGTCATTCTTCTCTATCGTGACTAAATTGTCACGCGAGAAACAGCTTTATTGATGATATAAAGCCGACACTATCTATATATATATTGACACATTTTCGTACTTACTATAGAACAATTTATAGAACATCTTCGAAGATCATTTAGACAACCGATCGACTTGTAGCTTAGCATCCTAGCTACATCTTTCGTTATGTACATTTGTTCGAGATTCGTGTTACAATAATCTCGTCGATGACAATCATCGGATCGCGTTAACGAGGAAAATCACCGCATTCTCTCACGACGAGATTGTTTCGGACGGATTTGGGCTACACTGTCTTCCATAAAACTCCGTTACAGACTTTAGTCTCGTATCAGTCACGAGCTAAAACACTACACTTCTCGGTGGGCTCCGGCGTCTCCTGACTATCACACTGAAAAACTTTATGAGAAGATGGACCGTCTCGGGCATCTTCGTGAGGCACCTTTGGCAACGTGGCATCGTCATTCATTGGACTCGATGGGATACATTGGTCTTGCGCGGCAACGTTCTCAATAAGTTGAGACTCGTGGTTTTCTTTAATGTCTAGTTGCTCACCGTCTGCATGCGATTGTTTCACAGGAACGAACGAAGTGGACGGCGTACCGTTCGACGATATTAGATTTAATTTCAAACGATCTCTAGTGTGTCTTAATTCTCCTAATTGATGCTGCTGACATTGTTCATATTCGTTCGTGAAGTCCACATTATTTTGCTGCGGCTCCTGCCCGTCTACCTCATCTCGGTCATCGGACAAGGAAATTGCGCTCGCACCCGGGAAGAACTGGCTCACGTACTTACTTTCGCCAGTTTGAAACTGGAAGGGTCGGTTCGAACTGGTCACAAAGAATTCTTCGTTCCCTGCGGCGGAAATAAATACATTGTGTCAGACAAATAAAAACATACGTACATTGCATAAGAGTGTTATCTCAGTAAATTAATACGCACCAGTATGATTGGCGTCGTCGTAATCCAAAGGATATAAATCCAATCGTGGCTCATCCATCATTTCTTCCCAATCTAACATGGAATATCAGATTTTTATTCGAATCAAAATATTTTTATCTGATGTTTTTACTTAAAAAAATATATATATACAGACAGAAAATAGTTTTCAATTTTCAGAAATTTTTATAATTTATATAGTATTTATGATGTGCGAAAATAGTACCAGAATAGGACGTTGGTTCGGAGTTGGTGGTACTATCCGCTTGACTGTCCGGCAGCGTTTCCTTCGGATACTCGTACACGCAATGGTAGCGTTGCTTCTTGAACCATACACTCTTCTTTTGATCCTGAACAAATGGTACACCATTAGTGCGTAGAATTTGTAGAGAAATACGTATCTAAGCTATGTATCTATATTTAGCGGATATCTAGCATGGTAGGTTTGTAAAAAGCGCGCTAAATACCTCTAATTAAATCTGCAAGGGAAAGTCACGCGAGAGGAATGTTAAAACTACATGCATTGCTCTGTACTTAAGTAATCGACACACCTACCAACTCATCCTAGCGGCAACCGAAAGAGGAAGAAAAACGTTATTAATATCTATGCGACATGTGGATGCGAATCAATTTGCATACAGCGCATTTGCATCTGTATTTACCCCAGATTTTAACGTTTTGTCCGGAGACCTCAATGCCGAACGGTGAGGCGCTAAAGCGGCATTCCAGGCCGAAGGTGTGAACTCCTCCTCCTCTTCTTCATCTTCGCCTTCGGCACCCAGTTCCTCCTCTAACTCGACACTCGTCGCCATACTCGCTTCGTCGTTGTTTGCGGTACTTTTGACTCGTATCTGTTCGATATGTGGCTCGTTGTATCTCTGCAAGTTTGAACGAGAGCGCAAACTTAGACCGAAATTTCGAGGAACGATTTTAATTCGCACATTCGCGGATTTACCTTCCAAACAAATTCACCGGAACTAGAACTGTTATCCTCGTCTTCTTCCTCTCCCTCTTCGTTCTCCTCCTCCTCTTCGTCCTCCTCTTCGTCTTCATCCTGGCTGCAACATTCGCGTTCACTGGCAAAACTCGTCGACATTAAGTCATCTTGCAACGGCGAGGGCAACGGTAAAGGCAACGGGAAGGACGAGGGCAACTGCTGCCATTTGGATTCTTCCTCAGGGCTCGGTAACGGCGCGCCTCCGCTCATCTTGACGATGCGCGATTTATCCTCTAATGGACGTGTGGCTGAACAAGTGAAATCTAAATTTTCTTCTTCGGATAAATCGCCGTTTGTCGTGTCCCGATCATCGTCCTGTAATCGTTCTCCCAATCCTTCCAGTAATATCATTTCATTCGTACGAGTGTCGACTAACAGTACATCTTCCGACGGCACAGATTCCCTCGAAGCAACGGATGCCTCTCTGGAGTTTGACATCAAAGACTCGGAAGTGACGGTGCTTTCTCGCTCTTCTAAGATGGGACTAAGCGGTGTTCCATACACATTGTATCTGGATAACAGAAAAGTTGCATATTACATTAACACATTTAATATAAATATTTAATTCTTTTATAAAGTATAACAAATAAATGTATTTCTTAATTTTATAAAATATTTACACTAGTTGATTTATTGATTATTTATTATATTTATTATATAATAAGAACCTAACCTTACCTGATCGAAATATCTACGCCTCCGCTCATTTGATTGGATGGATCGTCGCTGTCATCGTCGTCCCAACGTTTGCCATACACATCGCAGGGGATAGGAAGGTTCTCATCATCATCGTCGTCGTCGTCGTCATCGTCGTCGTGTCGTTCCAGAGATTCCACAATATGCATCTGCGCTTGAGGCAACTTTTCCCTGAGCTCGTTACGAATCGCCGTCACGAATTCTTCCTCCATGCCGAACGACACGTAGGAATTGTCGCTACGCAGGCTCACCGTCGAACTGTCCTCGTCCTCATTTTCGTAATCTCCCTGCGAGTACTGTTCCGAATCTCGGTATATATTATAAGTACTCCTGTCGGATCTCGAGATGGTTTCCGCTTCCGAGTCGTACGATGGATGAATATTATCTTCGGCCTTAAACTCTTGCACTTTCTCAGGAGTCAAACTCTTTGCTTCCATCTCGATGATTGTTTCCGTTATATTTTCACGTCTCTCTTCATATCGACACGGACTTGTCTCCGCATCGGTTATTTCTGTCGAATCAGAACTGATAATATCAATTTGTTTACTTTCTAAATCATTTACCTTCGCAGAAACAAGATTTGAATCGGAAACATTCTGTTTCAAGGGCGAAAGGTTTCTTTCTATGTTTGATGCGGAAGTTATACTTTCCGTTATACTTTCAGGACCAGCTGGGGTAGCGTAGTATTCTGCATCGAGAATATTATCCAGCTCGAAAAGAATTTGGAACGGCTCCTCCTCGGGATACGATGATTCTGAAATTGGAGCCGCGGGTAAGAGATTGCCAGACGTCGGACAGATCGCTTCCTCTTCCTCGCAGGACTCTTTATCTCGAAAACCAGAATCGGAACTCTGCTCGTCGTCCGGCGTGGACAATTGTTTTCTCTCCTCCTCGTCGTCATTTGGCAACGATTTTTGCTCCAACTCCGCGTTCTCTATTGTAGAAAAGTTTTCGTCGTCGGCGGTATAAATCGAATAGGCGTTACAAAAGTTCGCGTCCGGTGTAGATACGGCAGTCACAGTGACTTCCGGCGCGCCGGCGTTGCTCTCTTTCATCGATGCGTCTGTGTATTCGTTGAATTCCGCCTCGTCCGTGAAGCCGGGTACTTTATGCTCTAAAGCGGAGTCTAATGCGTGATTCCAGAGTAAAACGTCTACCGTGTTCTGTTGGTCGGCTTCGATATCGTTTGAAACTAAACGATTAGGAGCATCATTGTCCTCCTTGTTAACGAAGGGCGCATCGCGCGCCTCGCGATCCTCCCTCTTCTCCACTTCTTCAACAGAGGACGTTTGGTCAGGTACATAGCGGAGAAGAGGAAGGTCCGGGTCACCCTTCGACAGTCTTAGTACGTGCCTCTCGCCGCCGCGCTGCGTGCTATCCGCGCTCGCACTCGACGACGCACTGTTGTCGTTCTCGACGGCTGCTTTTCCCGCGCTGTCCAGAGACAGCCGCAAAATCGGCATCTGACACTGATCCATGGTCAGCGTTAAGAGTTTCGGCCGTTCTAGATTCTCCAGCGACCTGACTTTACCGGCGGCGTTGCTCGGCAAGGGGTCGCGCAGCTTCTTCAATGCCTCGTCGAACTCATCCGCGGGCACGGTGTGCCTGAGGTCGCTGTCGCTACCGGTCTTCTTCACGCTCTTCTCCGTCGTTTGGGCCCCCATCGACCACTCCGCGTCGGAATCCGGATCGATATGTACAAGCACCATCAGATCTGTCACGGACTTGGACTTCTGCTTCACTTTCTCTGTATATACACCCTGCTCGATCCGGCCCTTCCAGCTCTCCTCCTCGGTTTCCGAGCCGGACTCCGCAAACACCGTAGCAGCAGTCTTCATTCCGGGAATATTTTTCACCTGCTCCCCGGGTCCGAGGCGAAACGAGGACCGCAATGTGTCCGTCGTCTGCGCGTCGTCCACGATGTGAGTCCAGTAGTCGGAATCGATGCTACCGCGCAGATCCTGCAAGCTGGCGCTTCGCTTGCCGGCGTTCGCGCGTAAACTCTCCCACCGTTGCTCGAAATCCGCGTGTGCCGAGTGCTCGTGCGAGAACATCTGCCTCACGTCGTCCAGGGAGGGCCTGTCCTTCGCGCTCACGTTCAAACACAGGCGAGTTACTTGACATATATTCAGAGGACAGTTGGTGAGATAACTTTGCAGGAGCCGCGTGCCATTTGGCAGAAACTGATTCTTCAACGATAGAATCATCTGAATGACTTGCTCGTCGTTCATATCGTTGTAAGGTCTCTCACCCCAGCTGGCAATCTCCCAAAGAAGAACCGCGTAACTCCACATATTTGCCTGCGGCGTGATCTCCTGTGTTTCGATCGTCGTGTCGGTGCAGTTCAAACTTTCCGGCGCGGACCATCTAATGGGCAAGGCTCGGTCTGCTATGATGTAATAGTCCTCGGGATATTTCTCGACACCGGTACCGTAATCGCCCAGCTTAGCCGACAGGTCGGGCGCGACCAGGCAGTTTCTCGCGGAAAGATCCGTATGCGCGAAACCGTGGCTGTGCATGTGCTTCAAGCCGGACGCGATCTCCATTGCGATTCTTATGGGAACGTTCTCCCTCGCGAGCGCTTCCCTCGATTTCACATCGCGGTTAGATAGCAAGAAACCTTTTAGATCACCAGCCGGACACGACTCGAAGAGCAAGAGGTACGGATCAGTTTCCAAGCAGAAGCCGAGCAAGGCTAAAACATTCTGATGGCGCAGCTTCAAGTACGGCGTGGCCTCGCCAAGAAACCAGGCCTTTTCTCTGGTAGTAGCTTCTTCGGTGAGAATTCTCACGACTACACCGCCCGATTTCGATACACCCTTCGATCGTTCCAGATCCGCCCGACCCTCGACAACCTTTCCGAACCATCCGTGACCTATTTCTCTGAGGTACTTGAGTTTTTCCCTTGGGACGTAAAGTTCATTGGAGTTGAACCATTCGCTGCATGGTTCCTGCAGAATGACGTGTTCTGCATCCTGATCTTCGTTGCGCGGCGCTGACAATGGTACCGCTTTGTGCGTTGGAGTGGTTCTAGCGCCAGCCACAATACTGTCCACAGGTAAAGGTTCAAATTGGACCCTCTCGGAAATAGCTAACGTCCTAGAGGCATCCAATTCCAATCCTTCGACGGATCGATCAAGCGTACTCTCTTGTCCTATACTTCCGTCCTTGAATTCCTATAATGATAACAATACCATTTCACATGTTTTCTCATCGTTGTTGCTGGTTATGTTTCGTTGTTGTGAAAATAAAAATGTATCACATTACACATGCTAATTACTAATCTCTAGAGAAGAATCGAGAAACTAAGGATATGCTTAATATTTGTGAAATAAAAATAATTAAACGATCTCTTTCAGTTTCAACAAAGTGTTATCGATGTTAAATTATAAAAAAAACTAGCCCTACAATACTACATGGCTGTGTAAAATGTGTACTAATAGCAAAGACTCTATCCATAAAACTTTATTAGATGTATTTTAATGTAAAAAATATAATTCTTATATTATGTATTTACAGAAGAATATGTGAATAACAGTTTACATAGACAGAGTCTTTAGCATTTTTAATAGTTGAACACATTAATTTTGTTTATGTTCTCATCTAATTGATTATATGGAAAAAGTGTAAAGAACCTGCAACATCAATGTTACCTGATTGCATTTTTCTGCTTTGTCCTATAATTAAAAAATGCAGAGACTGGTGTTAGAGCTGTAAAGCAATGACGTCGTTCTTTCTATTTTAAGTGCGTAAGGGTGTTCTCAAACTACCTGAAATCCCTTAGGTCTTCTGTGCCTCTGGCAACAAAGGCATCCGGCCAAAGTCAGCGCTGTGGCGGTAACACTTGACAGAGCAATCGCGTAACGTAACCAGTAGTGTTCCCATTGTGAGGAAGACCGAGTATGTGGTGAATCTACAATAATAACAAAGTTACTTAACATTTGCTCCAAAATATTCAAAAACTGTTGTAAAACTAGTGTCAATTGCGGTTTAATTGTCTTTTTTTTTTACATAATAAAAAAAAGGAAGTGGAGGAAGATTAATACTCCTCTATCTATAAAATACTGCATATGTACATGTATATGTGTACATAAATATAGAATTTAAAAATAAAAAAAGGATTAAACTGTAATTAAATAGGGTCGATATTTATAGTAGCAGCTTTTACACGCGATGAAAACCCAATGTCTACCTGTGAGAAGCGACGAAGGTACAGGGTAGGCTGCGATCATCGGTAGACCCACCCAAAACAGCCAGCATGCCCGTAGGTTCCGCATCGCGTATGCAGTTCCTTATCGTCCGTGTTCTCGGCGTGCTTGACCTAAGTCATTCTCGCGTTTCTCAGCGGCGTGCTGCGAGAACGGATACAATTGGAAAGTCTTCGAGGGCGGTTTCTCGGGTCGTCGTACGACAACGCGCTCATAATCTTCGCCTCGCGTATTTTTCCTCGCGCTTCCGTAACGGCGACGGCGCAGGCGAAAGGTGACGACGCGCACAGCACAGGCACGGTCTATCCGGATCGTGCATGACATATGTATTGTCGCTGGACTCTAATCATGCTGAAAGGTGCACTCGCGTATGTGATGTAAAGAGACATGTTTTTTTACGCGTTGCATTCGCGTATCATTCTCGCATAGGGAACGAGAGAGAGAGGAAGAGAAAGTTAATGGGTAGCTTCGTCCTTTTTTGGCCAATTAGGCAGTCCGTGCAGGCGCATTGAAAGCTTCCTACAATCTCTGACAAAAGTTTAGTCAGCATCATTCATGGACGTAAAAAGTACGTAAGATACTGAACCGGACACATAAAGTGTTTCCGACATTTAACAAGAGAGGTACACGTGAATCTGTCGCCACTTTGGTTAAATGCGAATAAACCCGCGAAATAATTTCCATTTTTTCATTGCATCTAGAATATTGAAGACGATATTGAGATAAAATTGCGCTGTTGAATACATGAATGGCGACGGACGAGCATAAACATCTAGCTGACATAGTGAAGAAAACTCATGCTTTGTTACGTACCGAGTGTCATCAATATGGCGCTAAGGTTGCATGGGAACGTCACGTGGCGCGAAATGACGTTTTGCAGGTTTGTTTTAAGCATCACATTGTTCAAAATTTTAAAGCTAATTTTATAAATTAATAGAGATGTTTTAATATAAAAATTAATTAATTTAAAATTAATGTTTTAATAAAATTCTAGAACTATGCTGCGTCTATGCAAAAATTGGCAACAAAGTGCTGGGCGGATAACAATTCAAGGAATGGCACATATTGCAGGATGGAATGGATAAAAACTCAGTGCAAGGAATATTTTTTCAACGGTGGTAAAGAAAAATATGACATAAGAGAGCGTGATATAAATACAAAGATGACTCTAGAAAAGTTGAGCAATGAAAATAAAATGTCAGAAAATAAACAGATTAATGTGAAAAATAAATTACAAAATTTTCAAAAGCAGAAGATATCTATATTGGACGTAGGAAGCTGTTACAATCCTTTGAGCATTGATCCTGCATTTGATGTCACTGCGATTGATTTAATTTCTGCAGTAGAAGGAGTTTTTCAATGCGATTTCCTAAATGTTGCAATTGAAGGGGAGACAATTCTTTCCTGGGATGAGCGAGAGATTCATCAGCTATCTGCAAATTCATTTGATGCTGTAGTGTTTTCATTGTTGTTAGAATATCTGCCGTGTCCGAAACAGAGATATGTTTGTTGCAGAAATGCCTATAATGTGTTAAAAAACAGTGGCATACTAATTATCGTGAGTCCTGATTCAAAACATGTTGGTGCAAATGCAAAGTTGATGAAGTCTTGGAGGTACACATTGAGCAAATTGGGATTTATGAGAATAAAATATGAAAAACTACGTCACATTCATTGCTTGGTGTTCAGAAAATGTGTGTGCAAGGATGTAGCGATGCGATGGGCTAATCTGCAACATTTTTCAAATGATGATAAGAAGTACATATCTGAGATAGAAATTTTTATCCCTCAGGACTTTCAGACTATCTGTCACAAGGAAAAGCAAGAAAAATTAGACGAATACAATGAGACTGATTTAGTAAGCATTTTTTCCGAATTACCATTTGGTAATGAAGTATGATTGTAAATATGTGATGTTCGATGAAATATTTTGCACACACACACATAAAATGCTTGTATAAATATTTTATTTTTATATTTATTACTTCTCTATTATCTAATATATAATATATATATAAAGAAATATTATTTTTTTATCACTCTATGTATAAAAATTATATAAAATATAAAAAAATTTTTTGTTTACGTGTTTAACCGCTAGTTGACACTGAAATCGAAGAGAACTATTCCTTTCTATATATGATGTAGTTCGTGAAGTTACGTCCATCTTGAAAATTTCTTTCCTTCGTCGTTTCTCCTCACTGGCGCACGTGGTGTGTATATAATTTTACCTTTATTATTTAATATTTTTAAAATATTTTATCGCGCTAGAATAATTATTTTATAATTGTAACATGTTCTAAGTTATCAAATGTTTTTACAATACAACAATATTTGCGGAAAATGACTTTTTTATGACCAGTTGAATGTCAATCTAACCTTATCGATGAATTCTGTGCAGTTTAATCGAATATGTATTTCTTTATTAGATATTTTTTCGGGAGCTATTGATATTACTTGATTTTTGAATATGTTTGATATCTTTTAAGGATATATATGTAATTTTAATTAAAAATATAATTTTGATAGTGTAGAGACTCCAAGATGTCGTCACACTTGACTTGGATGATAATCCGTGACAACAATGCCTTCCTTCTCAAGAAGCGCAACATCAATAAGCCGTTCTCTACGGTTTGTAGTTTTACAAAGATTAAAACTTTACTAGCTGTGATAAATTTAGAAAGTATACTACAATGATTTAATATTTAGGAGTCCAACAACTTGACGAATTTGAGCAGTTATCGATACTCTGGCTTGGTCCATCGCAAAAGCGTAGGCATTGTTGATACTCCTGACAAAAAGGGATTCACAGTTGTCTACAAGAAGGCTAAGGCAGTTAACAAGCCTGCTAAGGCTACGGTAAAGAGCACCATGAAGGCTGGAGCACGTCGTTCCCTTCATAAGCTGAAGTCTTTGCTTACAAAGAACAAGTATCGTGTGGATCTTACCAAAGTATGTGAATCATATATAATTCTTGCTAATTGGGATGATTTGTTAGCATTGATTTGATATTAATACATTAGTGTGATGTATTTTGCAGGCTGCGCTGCGACGAGCCAGTGCTGTGTTACGTTCTCAGAAACCTCTCCCTGCTAAGAAGACACGAACTACTAAAAAGCCGATTAATTTGTATACTTTATTAAATACATATGTTTTAAAGTAATTTGTTACAGGTGACATGTTCTGTGAAGTAAATGTGTTCTAGCCTTTAAAAGTTTTTTTATTTTGATGTTATATTGTTTGTTTTTTGATTAAAATGCATTGCGCTGTGCACCTTTACTTAGCAGATATGTCTGGGATGTTATTTATTGATTAATATTTATAATACATATTTTAATTATAAAAATATTTTGAGGTAAGCATTTATATATATTTTGTGGTAATGTATAGTATTTGTTTATTTTTTGTATTAAAAATAAACACTATACTGTGATATTTATATTTTATTATATGGAATTTTATTTGTTTTAGGTTTATTGAAAAAATAAGTCGCATCCCTGGCAATTGTGTTATTCAGGTAAATTTTATTTATGAAAGTATTTTTATGTATTATATATGTAAATGTAAAAAAATGATATATATATTTATACACCAAGATCTATGAATGCTATGATTAGTACAGTATTTGCTAGCTGATTATCATACATCAGTTTGAAATTTAAATAGAAAAATGATATTCTCAATTAATACAGTACCTTTATTATTCAGATTATTGGCGAAACTTCTTTCCTTTTGTTGGACCAGCATTTCAAAATTATACAAAGGTATTTATATTTTTAATCATTTTGTTTGTTTTATTTAAATTTAAATAATGTGATGTTATAACGATCACCAAGATCTCTGAATGCCGTGATTAATATAGTATTTGCTAGCTGATTATCATACATCAGTTTGAAATTTAAATAGAAAAATGATGATCTCAATTAATACAGTACCTTTATTATTCAGATTATTGGCGAAACTTCTTTCCTTTCGTTGGACCAGCATTTCAAAATTATACAAAGGTATTTATATTTTTAATCATTTTGTTTGTTTTATTTAAATTTAAATAATATGATGTTATAATGCTCACCAAGATCTCTGAATGCCATGATTATTCAATTTGCTACTTCTGATTTCATAAAATCATATCAATATTGGAATATAGATGATTTAAGAAAAGTAAAGAATTTTTTGTTTATTTTTTCAGATTTAACACCCAAAACTCGAAATTTAGACGACAGAAGTTTTCACTTTACAGGTAATTTCTAATTATTATCTAAATCTCATTTTTTTTTTAAATTGTGTAATATATCAATGTTTATGAATGATGATTTTTTTCCACCAAGATCTATGAATGCCATGATTAATATAGTATTTGCTATCTGATTATTATTTACAATAACTTGAAATTTAAATAGAAAAGTAACAATAAGATTAATAAAATTTAATAATTTTTTTGTTTGGATTGCTGTGATATTACATTTTATAACGGAGAAACCTGTATCTTTCAAAACTCTCTAAGGTAAGCTTCATCGTACAGTCCTTATCATATAATATCTAGTGCGAGAATGATGATACTTTTTACCACCAAGATCTCTGAATGTCATGATTATACATCATTTAGTATTTGCTATCTGAATGAGATTGTTTCAGTTTTTTATTTAAAAAGACAACTTTTTCTGTTGCAGACTTCTGATCTTCCGGATATTTCGAGAAAGCAGTTGGTAACAATTCATTTGTTGCACACCTATCAGGATTAATGTTAAAATTAGACAAGTAAGTAATTATGTATATATTTATTGATTTCTTTAGCAGTTACAAAATTATTCACCTAGAAATAGATCAGTATTAGAATCTATTATAATAACGGTGTATTTGACAATAAAATTGTTACACATTTATGTGTTACTGATCATATTTAACTAGAGGCTATTTTAAAATTTAACTATTTTCCTATTTAAGATTGCGTGGTTATAAACGTTAGCATAGAGAAGCAATTTTATAATTATATACAACTGAAAGTGAATCATTATATGGGTTATTAAATGTGTTGTTACGAATATTATGAGCTGTTCAGCTAAACGTTTTGCTGAAGCCTTTCCGTATTTTTTATTAAGTTTACGATATTAGATGGAAGAATAAAGTTGTAAATATTAACAATAAATAAATTCGAAGAAATAATAAGAGAAATCTAATTTTTCGACTAAAGTTCTTAATTAGAATCACAAATTCCTCAAATCCAGTTTACTTGTTTCCTTGTGCTTCCTTTGATATTTAATATATCTAACTTAACAAAACCACTTGATTTCCACTAAAATTATACGAAATGTTCTATCTCTTTTTGTACATTGAATTATTTTATACATTCTTAATACATTGAATTAAACGTTTACGATGTCAGAGAATGTATCGGTGCGGAAAAGATATGCTAATTCGTGTTTACACGAGTAATGAAAGGACGAGCGCTTTCCTAGGCTGATTATCTTGTGGCGGGAAGGACTAAAAGGACTCGTGTTTGCTACGTGCGAGCTATTTCCGCGAACAGCCCTTTTGCCTGCTGGCCTCGAAGGGAGAAATCGTAACGCTTCGGGATTGCGGTTCGCCTCGTTTGCGAACCCGCTTGCTGTTAACTGCACTTAACGAGAAACGGGTGGGAATTGCAATAGTCGTGTGTCACCTTATGACGTCTCATCGTCGTTCGACTGAATAACGGGGCGAGCTCTCTCGACTGTGTAAGGCTTATTAATTTAACTTGTCGTTGCGAGAGGTCCTTGGCGACATTGCAACTGCTGAGGAAGCCGCATCGATCGATTCGCTCGGAAACGTCTATTAGCATGTAAACGCTATTCGTGAATAGTAACTGCTGACTGCGCCTGGGGATGCTTAAATTTAATCGAGATACCAATAGCATTATTCATTTATCGAGTGCAAGTATTGATATTCGATATCTGTTCCAAAATTGTAATCAAATCTTTCACTATACTCCGCGATATAATAAATTAATAAAATTAACTTTGAGTAATTAACGGCGTAAAAAAAACCTTGCGAGAAGAGATACGCGATATTGTAAAGAGTTATCCGTAACAATAGAAATTCTTTCCGCAGTATATATCGGAAGAAGCGTATGGCGAATGTACGCGAGAAAATAAAAGCTTTTCAATCGGGACGATGCGATGGAACCCTTCGGCAAATGCAACAGGAATTTAAGTACGCGTCGTATCGAACAAATGTGCCTCTCCGGGATTTTCATTCGGCCTTTGTCCCATGAAAATGCGCCAAGGAGATGCGAAAGGCTCGAGGCGACGCCCTTTGCGGCTTTCTCAGGATCGACAGATTCTCGATGAGATATAGGGATAAAGATCTACGCATGAAGTAAAATATAACGTTGGCGATGCACGATGCGATAATGCGGATTCTTTCGGAAAAATAATGGCCGATTTTAAGCTACAAGCTCGGCGCAGAATTCAAGTTTCAAGTTGCTATTATTTATGAAGGATAAATAATACGATAAATATTTCTTGTAAGATTTCCGATTCCAGAATCATTTGGATATATCGAGATGCGTCATATCTTCGTTATGGATTTTATTGTATTATGTGCACGCTTTTCTTTATTGTATACTCTTATATGAATCGCCCCGTACATTTTTATGTTTTATATTGTGTCCCGTGGGAAAAGGGCCATAAAGTCTCCCCGGGGAATTATGAGAGGTGATATATACCATTATGGAATTCCACGGAGAAGCGAGAGGGGATGGAAAACGCTATTCCGAGTATACTCGTATTCCGAATTACAGCGATTTCCGCAACTGCGTAAAGCTACGCCGGCGTTCGCACCGGTGGACGGGGATTTCGTAGAAATTATGGCAATTAGCGCAATTAAAATCGGCCTACAGACTAATTTGGGTCCGCGAAATCGCCATCGTCCACGTAAGCGCATAATACAAAGCGTCGTTTACAAACGACGTGCATATACATCAATGTGCTTTTTAATATAAAAAAATACAGCGCTGAAAGAATTAAATTAGACACAAAGAAGGATCATTGATTCCCATCGGGGTTAATGCGAAGGTTAACAATGTCTGAATGCACGTTCCCATGAACCGAAGGCTTTTCACAAAGATGATTATTCCCGAAGGAATAAGAAAGAGCACCAAATGAGGAGCGGAGAAAGGGAGACCGACGGAGGTACAGAGACGGACCGCCCGCTTTTCTCGTTGGCGAAAAAAAGAGGGGTCGACTCATGAATAATGCGGGGGTGAAAGCCAGGCTGAAACAATTGCCGGGCGTCGCCCTACTCTAGAAATTACATCGTCAGATTTTCCGCGAAATTAAAACATTATACCGGGTGCCCGAGGTATCTGCGTCGCTCGCAGATTTCTCGGCGAATTTCTTCTTCGTAATTCGCTCTCGTAATTTTTTATGTTAAACACCTTCATAAGTAAGCGCCGAGTAAAAGCAGTGTTAAAGCACTATTCAGTTAAACGTTAAATAAGGAATAAGGTTTCTCGTTATCCAATCGCGATCTCTGAAGTTTAATTAGATAATTTTGTTTTATTTTTAATTGGCCATAACTCAAACGCTGCGTAGGTCTTGATGTTGAAAAGAAAAATCGTTCTTGGTTTGATTTCCTTATATTTCTGTTTAAATTTTATTTTTCCCATTTAAACTATATAAATATTCTGCTTATAAATCGCGTCGATCTTTCTTGCGTTTTAAAAATTCTGAAAAATTCTTTTCATTTCTAATCGATGAAACATGTGCCTGAGACACCCTATATATCCTATTCTCGTCTACGACTACTTGTCTTCCTGTCTCTTTTCGCAGTCCTTTTCTACTTACGCGATACGTCCGTTCGCCGGGCGAAGCGCGGAAAAAAATCGCCGATTATGCGATTTGACTGACGGCGATACGCCGCGCGCCGGCGAGAGGACACTTTTCCTCGGGATTTAGTGGCTCGTTCTTGCCGACGAAGAAATTGCGAGGCTGGCTCGCGCCAAGCAGCCGTCGAGCAATTTCTAGGATAATGTTGGCCCGGTTATTAAACGTCCTTATGGTTGCTGTCGCTTCTGAAGAACGCGCTTCTAGAAATCGAGGGATTCGCACGATCAAGGATACACATTGCGGGATAAAAGTCCGAATTATGACAGTTATTACAGCATTACAGCGTTGGAAAATATCCGGAAATAACTTGGAAGAAATTACAATGTTTACTTATAAACTTGATTTTGTGTCCTTAATCTTTTAATCTTGTTTATTTCTCATTCTTTTGTTTTATGGCAAAATTGCTGTTTTATCTATTTTTTTTCTATCAATACTCTCCGTGCAGTACTTATCGCTTTTTGCAAAAGCGGAATGATATTTGGAATCCTTTCTCTACGTTTCTAATAGCAGCTCTCGAGCAAATCCCCGTTTCAAGCTATGCGACCCTTGCCCGGTGCCTCAATGGTGTTGATTGCTTATCTGAATATGCATAATCGCGACGATAATGACAGCGCTCGGGCCGAACACACGGTTATGCGCCGCGCATACGTAACGAGAGTGCAATTCCCTTATGCGTCTGCATGTGGACGATCGCCGACAATAAAGCGATCATCGTCACTTATGCGAAAATTCGATCTGTAGCCCTTTTGATAGCGGATCAAATATTTATAGAAGCTTTATATTTTTTCAGTTTTTCAAACTTCAATATCGGATTAATTGCGAAAGCGTTTTTGCCCTTATCATTTAATTCTGATTCCGGTATAAAATAAAATATTTAATTTCCTTAAATTTCCATTCATTTATCCGCACATTTATTTTTTTTTTTTTTTTACTATTTTTTGAGCCTTATATTTCGTTTCTTTCCAGAGTCGCAGGCTTTTTCCAACTGGTGTTTTGTTTTATTATTGTGATGCGTTTATTGCTCGCGGTAAAACTGCGGTTTACTGTTGAATTTTATGATTGACCAATGGCGCGACGTAGCTGGACGTTCAGTTTTGCCGATTCATCAGACGTGTTTATATGATAATATGCCCGACGCTCGTATTTATATGCATGAAAGATAAAAGAACTCGCAAAACCTGACGTGAGTATAGAAATGTTACGCGCACGCGTGTCTCCTTTTTTTTCTTTATGTATATATATATATATATAATATCATGAGATTATAAGCGCGCGATATAAAGTATGCGAAGGACAAGCTATACGAACTGTGAAAATACTTTGTGTGTTTTACTTGCGTTACAGAATTACGTTATGGCGTTAGCATTATTATTCATTATTATTACTCAGATAACACGAAAGTCGTTAAGTCCGCCGCTGCCTGGAAAATTCAGGTCCGAAATGGGCCAAGGATAGACCAGGGAACGCAGTAATTTTAGGATAACTTGTATGTCCACACGTGGCACGCCAATTTGCACCAGACATTCCGTGTGCCAAATATTAGGTGTGCTGAGACAACCTTTGTCTCCGCAAGGCGGCATGCATCATGTATGCGTGGACGCGTGTCCGACGCTAAGGTCTCTTCGACATACACGAGAGAGGGTCAAGTTACCGCCCACGTGTAAATTTACATCGGAGGAAAAATAGAGGGCGAAAAGGAGAGAAAATGAAAAAAAGTCCCAGACATTTGACCCAATCATCGAAATAACAGCGAAAATTCAACGGAATATTTTTATATCTGCAAAATTAGATATTTTCAGGGATATAATTAGACTTCAAATTGAAATTTTATTAAAATAAAAATGACTTAAAACTATATAAATCTAGATAATATGAGTAAAAATATAATACGTAAATTACAATTGAAATGTTTCTTTGATTTCGCGTTGCCTGGGAAATTTTTCAATGTTTAATTAAATTCAATTATTAACAATTTCTATTTACAATTCAAGAAGTATTCAAGTCTATCATTGAAATGAAAGGTTTTTCCTCTTTGGCATTTCGTGTTTGCAATCCAGAAAGGTAAATAAAGGATGCGCCGGAAATACTCTGTGCGCCCCTTTCGCCCCTAAAGAGGAAAAAGTTTGCGCATCCCAGCGTGATTTTTTGCGGCGTCTGCACATAATAAAGTAACGCGCGCAGGGGCGTATAACGAATTGAATTTCTGCAGGAATGACCCGAGGCGCACATGCCGTGGAAGGGTTCGGGACAGATATCCTTGTACGCGAAGTTATAATAAATTCAAAGCGAACGAGGACACGCGCGGGCCGTGGGCGGGCGGCGGGCCGCGGCTCTCTCGGGTTACGTCTGGATTTCGCATGGAATATTCTACACGCGCGAATTCAAAGCCCTTGGTTCGTGTTAAAAGTGTCTAAAAGCCGGCCGCTAAAGTACCCGAGACTCCGCTCGCCGCCAGGTAGCTCCAAGTCTCTCGCGCGCGAGAATAGAACGTGCAAAATTTCTCCATTCCGACTTTTCCCGCGAGTTACTCGAAGAATGCGCTTCCCGGATGTATATTGCGCACCGCAGTGTTTTAGTTTTTTATTCAGGTGACATCGACAATGTTCGTTTTAATTTTTAATTCCGGACTTTAATATGCATTTATCGTAACTTTGACATATCCCTTTCTATCGTACTAATTCCATTTACATCAAATTTTTGTTATCAACTTTTCATTTCGAACTACGTTGATTGTATCATCTCTCTATCACATTGATGATATTTCATTCACGAGTTTAATTGTGTGCTGATTTCATTTTTATTATATTGAAAGCTAATTCTGCTATGAATTCACGCTCATCGTTTCTTTTCAGTCTGACTTTTTAGAACACGTCATTTCTTGTTTTAAAGTGCTATTTTATAGTCGAATAAGGATGTTTTTAACTGAAATTTATGTTAAACGTTATGTTAAACGTTTGGTTAATAAATACCATACGATTAAAAAGAATACATAAACATGCTTGCTCATTCCTCGAAATGCCGAATTCTATATGTCAATGCTTCGCGATAGTTAACGGAGTATTTTTTTTTATTTGTCTTTTATTTGTCAAACGGCTGCTAAGAGAATGTTAACGTGATTTTAAATCAACCATTACTAACGCATACATACAGAAAGAAGTGCTCTTTTCGCATGAGTCATCTTTTTTTTATCATTTCAAAAGGGATAAAGTCCACTTGCGTCAGAACACGCATTAACATAACTTTAATGCGCGTGACGAAAAAAAAACAGCTAGACCATTTTTCATCTCGATTTTTTCAGCTGAATAACAAAATTGCAAAAAAGTATTGCGAAATATTTTAGCCGTCTTTTCATATGAATTCGCCTGTCAGCGAGCTTAAGGATTGAATAGCAAAATAATTTTGGAAGCAATTCTATACCACGCATATCGTATCGTATGTCATTATTCTTTCAAAACCACAGTACTAAAAATCTTTAACGGGTATCATAAACAATACATTGTTTATAATATAAATTTTGGACAGAACTAGTATTAACGATATTGTTTTTATATCAATATTTTATGATTTAACATAATAAGTTTTAAATTTATATACATTATTTTTCTTTGTTATAATTGTGAAATATGCGTATAAATATTTACAAAAATAAATTATAAATTTATTCAATAATACGGACACCCAGTGTATGATAACAATAAGAGACATTAATCATCTTTCACTTTTTTCATTTTGCTTATCGTATGTAAAAAATTGTAAAATTCCAATAGTGTGATATCAGTTTCAATCTCTGTCATCAAACCTCTCTTTCGTTTTTTTACAGCTATATTATATCATCGTATGCGCGATTGATTTCCGTGTGTCACGGATATTCGGGATATATTAATTTGAATAACGTTATCGAATGAATTGATGATAAACAATTAGGTTAATTAGAGATCCGGATTGCCCAGGAAATGTAGATGTTGTTAATAATATGTTTGTATTACCGCTAGCTCTGTGGGTTGTATTATAATTTAATCTTAAATTTAGTGTAAAAATCACAGTATAAACATAGATTTCATCTATGAATTTTATTTCTGCATAATTTTTCCTGGGCTAAAAATAGTGGAAGAGTGAAAGCTCTTACGATATTTCGGCAGACAGATTGTAATTGTGACCCGTTGATGGGATTGCAAATTTTACACGGTATTTTTTGCACTCGGACGCACGGTACTCATCTCCGCGATTGTTCTTCGCAAATAACGCGATTCAGCGCGCGTCCGAGCAAAACGCTGCTAGTCATTCTCGATGCTGCAATTTATTAATGATGTTAATTCTAGGCGGAACAAAGGAAATATCTCGCTAGCGGCTATCGATATTGCGTTTGTAAAATATGGATTACGCGGGAGATGTCCGTAACAGGTGCACACACGGCTGGCCTCTCGATATAATAATACAATATTCCATGTTCTATTATATGCACGGTTGGATAAATTTATTGCTAGTCATAAAATTGAGCGATGGACAGACATGAATGTTTAAAAAATACATAGACAAATTATGTAAAAGTTTTAAATTGCTTCTGACTGTTGTAACCTTTTTTTCGGCTCATTTGACAGTTGTTTCTACAAATAACAAGTAGAATATATATATAACATTTTGCATACAATTTTTTATTATGTTATATAATTTCGATGGAAATTATAAAAATTGCGCGCGAGAAACGTGAGGAGCGCGATACCGATTTCAACAGAAAAATTCACAAACCATTTTTTTTAACGAAAACATATTTATATAATTTTTATGGCAAACGTAGTATTATTTTACTTTATTATTATTATTATTACAGCCCTTTGTTACATGGCGATACGTAATACCCATAACGATTAATGCGGAGTTTCGGTACAACGTTACTCAAATTTGTGTTGCGTCCCATTGCGAATTAGTTCGAGCAACAACACACATGTATGTACATCTTCGAAAGGATGCATCATCGATTACGGACTGCACGCAAACTCTTATGCATTGCGTGCCGTGCGGCTTGCGCAATAGTAAACTTACGAGGCCTGATTTTTTCGCGCGAGTCCGCCTGTTTTTCGCGCGGCTACCGGAACGGAAGCAATAATTCGCCCGCCGACCGGCCGGCGGACAAAGTTAACGAGGTACGAGAGCGTACGCCCGTTAACTTAACGCCGGCCAAATATTATTTTTGCAATTGCCGCTGAATCCCGCTAACGAGCCCCGCGCTCTCGTGCAAAAGCGCTGACGTTCTCTCGCCCCTCTAATGTCTCGCGCAAAATTCTCCCGCGATCGCCGTGACGAAACGCCGTTAATCCGTCGTGACTCCGTGATTTTTTTCACGATAAATATCTCGAGAACCTCGAGTCCCGACTCGAGGGGGAATCCTCGAGGGGGCGAAAATTACTGACCGTAATAAGCGAAAAATAATTTTTTTCTCTCGTTTTTCATTAAAAGTTAAAGACCTTCGTGATGAAACGCAAATAGCATTAAAGCCGACCGTACGCGAGAGCTAGCAAAACTTTCGAATCGATTCCAGAAACTCCCTATATACCGACCAATATTTACACAAGACAGTGATATGCGTACATCGCGAGGCGTACATTCGAGATTTACACATCTGTGACGTTTTCTCGCACCATCCTTCGTCCGTCTTCTTTGCGGGAACGCGAGGGGAGTCGCGTGAGTAAGACTGATTCGACGAATTCAGTGTCTAACCAATCGGGGACCAGGTATAAAACAGCTGATCGTCGTGGCCGTCAGCATCAGTAGCCTAACTCCGCTCGAACATGAAGGTAAGCAGAATTCTTTCCACTGTCCACTTTCGAACTTTTGTGTCCTTGCTTTTTTTATCTACTTATCTTTGTAACATCCTTTGTAATCCTCCCTTTAACTTCTTTTTTATTGTAATGACATTTTTGTCTCCTGTGTCCTTTTTACGCGCATTCGATTATCCCGTCTGCTTTTTCCTTTCGGATTCGCGAACAGTAACTTGGTTCAATGCGTTGCTAATTGTGAATGTAATTTTATTACGTTAGTTTTTACGAAGCTATCGGAAAACTTTTACGTTGATTTTTACAGAGAATGTGTGATACAGAAACAGAGAAGTGTTAATTTTTTTGTAGTATTTCAAAAGAATATATGTGTAACAGAATAGAAATTACACGTGTTTCGATTTGACAATTAATTTTTTAGTTGATATTATCATTTCTTTTCTGATTACAGATATCAGATATTTTAAATCTACGTTCTCTAAATTGTTATTATAACTCTGAATATTTTTGAATTTTCTGAAATATTATCTTTTTAAATTACAATTTATCAATACTTGAATTCGTGAATTTAATTTACAATATATTTTTTGAATGACTTCTATTCTTTTTTATGAGAATCGCACAGACACTAATTGCCATCTTATTCGGCGAAAATCCGACCCTTAGAGACTGTAAGTGAATAATGCAGCGCAAGTTCTTCAGTGCATCGAGGCTGTTTCACGTCGTTAACGACCTTGGAGACCGTTTAAGGGTCTCTTATAGTGATTCAACGTTTGTCTTCTTGTACATCCTCGCAAAAATTCGTACGTTAATGCGCCGCTAAACGCGCGCGCGTACGTTTTTACCGACTTCCACGCGCCTCCCGGTGCGCGCTCTCAAATCGCGTGAGTCGCGGGTTGCGTCGAAACGAGGTAAAATTTCTTCACGAGAGTGAAAGGCGTCAGGAAGTATTGCTCGTGGAGACGGCAATTGCGTAATGACCTTTATGAACGTATGCATAAGTCTGCGAAGTTTTCTTTTCGTGTTGTCATTCCGAACGACAAGTTCTCCGTCTTATCCGATGAAACATTTTTATTCCCCTTTGACGAAACTTTTAATAAACTATTGATTTGCTACTGCGCGGAAAAAAAGAATTTTGCAGCGAAATTGTTGTTGCCATTGCATATTAGATGTGATAGCGAAAAAATTTTGCTACACGAAGAAAATTTATATCCAAAATTACTATGTATGGTAGTAGCCGCGGACCATGAAAAAATTATAAAAATTTGTACTATGTTTTTCACATAATGGCCATAGTATTTAAACTTATAATTTCTCTTATAGTTCGCGACTACTGTATCATAATAATTTTTCATATAAAATTTTTTCCTCTCTTCGTGTATCATAATTAATTTTTCTCTCAATATATCAGCAAATCCGTTTTTTTTTTGGTAAAATAAATAAATTTTGCTGGATATTTGTTTATAAAGACACATTAATTTGCTGTTACAATAAAATAATTTAATATTTGCAGACGTAGCAAAATTATTTTCTGCAAATAAAATTAGTATCCGTAATAAATCTTTATATAATAAACTAACACGCTTTGCTACGATAGCGTAAAACTTGCTGTGTCAGCGAGTTCTTTTTTTCCGTGTGTCGATAATAAAATGTTAGATTTAAATTAAATCAATTAGTTTTAATATTTTAACAAACTTTGATAGAATTATCATAGTGGAAATTTTTCGAAGTTGCAAATTTGTTGCAGAAAGATTATTGTTGATACGCGATACAATTAGAGATGCTATATATCGATGTAGCTTTGTATGTTAAACGACATGTCACGACATTCTCTTCCTCTAAAAGGGCTAAATGTCTCTAGGCGAACCCACAGGACAACATCATTTTGGTCGCTGCCCTTTGCGCGCTTCGCCCTTCGCTAAAGTATAGTGGGTATCGCGTACTACAGCAGAGGTCTATTCTATACTAATTAACATCCTAACTAACTCTCCGGCATTAACCCGTTATGTACCAGCGCATATACAACCATCTGGTCGTAGTCTGCGGGAGTGAGGAATCCCTTCGCAACGAGTTTGAACTCCTATTCGTTGAAGGTGTTGTAACTTATGTTTTCGTCGGATTAAAGCATTGATTTTGCGAAGAAATCAAACCCAAAGCGGAAAATTAAATCTCTCGGTCTCCCTTTCTCGCGTGTTTATGAAAATTACTTGAAAAGTACAAATCTTTTTTACATACTTATCTCAACTTTACGAACTAAAGTATCACGCAAAATACAAGTTTCTTTCTTTTTTCTTAAACTAGATAAATCTGCACTTTAATGTAATCAGTGATTGAATTGCATAAAGAAGTAGACGCGAAACTTTTACAGATTAAATCCGTTTTATAATTTATGAGGTGAGAACTTGTTTCTCTCTTCACCAAATTGGATTGAATAGTTCTCGTAGTTCAAGGTTTAGTCAATTTCTTGGATCTCCCGCGCGAAGCGTAGCAGTTAAACCGATATTTTGAAACTAGAACAATCAATGTCATTTTACGGCTCGCAGCTAAAAGGACGAGTGTCCTATATCCGAGCACGTGATATCCCTGTTCTTCTTTTACAGCGTAGCATTGATTGCTCCAGTTTCTTCGGGCGTAATGTTCGCACGTGAATCATCTGGATAATAATTTAAACTTGTTGACAACTAATTTAAATAATGTATCGACGCGGACTGATGCAAATTAATTATTTTAATGAAACATTTGGAAATCGGGTTATGGTACTTTTCAAAAAATAAGTAAATAAGATATCGGGTTCTCGCGAATTTTATGCAGCTCATATCGCAGTAACACGGCTTTGATGTTCCATGACGCACGAAGTGTCTCTTAACGCTCCGTGCAGACTCGCGTTTGAGAAAGCGTTTGACGCACTCTGTATAATTAAATTGATTTCTAAACGGAGTTCTCCGCGCTCTACACGTTCCATTGGCCGTCCGTTCTCGTCTTTACCTACTAATGAGGCGAGTGCGCGTGTACGCGAACGAGCGCGTCGTACGCTGCTTCTATTTTCCATAAGCCTGTAGGGGGTCCAGTATATTCCCTATTTTCGCTGGGCCTAGAGGAATTTCCATAGAATCATCGAACAGCATACACACGACCGCACGCGCGAGCGACGTATAACGTATGCACGCTCGTTGGTATTCATATCACGCGCTAAATACGGCCCGCACGCGATTTGGCGGCGTTTCGGCAACACGGCGATTGTCAACGCAGCCGGCTCGCAGTTCAGCCTGGCAAACATTTAACCAGTATGCACACTCGACATTTAACGTCCGGCAAGCGGGGAGGCCGTATTACCTTCTCCGACACTTTGTTCGCAGCCGATCGACGTATTTATGACCGTTGCGCGCGGTCTTTCGGATTCGCGTTTAGCCCGGAATTCCCGCGGGATCCATAACCGGAAAGCTTTCGTACTTCGTTCAATCCTCTCGCATATTGCGCGCAGATACTGAGCGCATACATCGGGATGCTATAATATATCTAGATTTCCGTATATTTTTTTTTCATATTCTAAAAAGATTTTTAATTTTACGATCGTACTTCGTTCAATCCTCGTCGACGTTGCCCGCTATCATCCGCGGATAAACATCGGGATGTTGTTTTAAATATTAGATTGATACAAAAGGTTTATCGTATTTGTTTAGCAAAATTGAAGACAAAAGTACAGGTTTTCAAATTAATTTTTATTAATCAAAACAGTCGCCATTGTTTCAATACATTTTTTCCATTTAAAAACAAGTTTTCATACGCTTGATTTAAAAAATGCTTAAAAATGAAAATCAGTAATTTTATTTAAAATAGACCTTTTTATGGAAAAGCGATAAACCATTTGCATCAATTTAACATATTTTGATTTTCAGTACATTCTTTCATGCCTAAAATAATTTGGTACATTCTTTCATGCCTAAAATAATTTGGTAAATATTCTATCTAGATTCTAGTTCTTTTCCTCTTCGTGGTAGCCTGCGTTTTGGCGGAGGATAAATACACGACCAAGTATGACAATGTCGATTTAGACACGATTTTAGAGAGCGACCGTTTGCTTAAAAACTACATAAACTGCTTGCTGGAAAAAGGAAACTGCACTCCCGATGGCAAAGAGTTGAAAGGTAAGCCCATAAAAAATTTTATCACTATTTTCTTTATCTCTATATTCTTCATATTTTTTTCGTTATCATTGGACTTTGATTTAAATATTAATATTGATTCAATATTATGTTAATGCTGTTATTAATTATAATGTTAATGTAAATTTTACCTATCTATATATTTATTATATTATGTTCACATTACTATGCTTATAATTGTATACATTTATAATTCACTTTATAGAAAATACAGTTTGTTTAATAAAATGTAACAATGAAAATATGGTAACGAGAAGCGAATCCGTAACTATAGAACGTATCTGATGTCCGCACGTCTCGTATGTGTCGTGATAATGTGGCAAAATATACGCGATAAAATGAGACCATAATGACGATCTTTCACGCGCTTTCTAATGCACGAGAGAATCAGCCTTGGCACTAATGGCCACCTCGTCGCGTCCCGTCGAAGGATGTGCTATGTGAGGTCGTATCGTTAACGGCGACGTACATATGTATGTACGAAGCGCGCGCGTATATTGCTTCAGTCGCAGATATGAATAATACGCTATAGCGGTTGTATAACGCCAAGGAGATTTCGGCAAAAAGTACCCGGTTGACGGCGAGACATTTGCGTGTACATATATTTGCGGTTAGCAACGTGAGCGACGAATATGTCAATTTTTTAGGGCGAAAATTTTGCTCGCAAACGTTTCGCGAGCATTCTATTTCCATGTATAAAATATCGCATAAAGTTACGTAACCGTGCAAGGGTGAACTAGGAAGTTGTTATTTATCGGCACGTTTTTGCTAATTATATCCCGCGTATTTTGTATTAATTGCTCATCACGTAATTTATAACGTATTCGACTTTTTCCTCTCCGTTGGAGTCGCACTTTTATTGCTTTTTTTCTCTTTAGAATTTCTTTTTTTTCTGCGCGTGTTAACCTATCGTGAGAGAAAACGCGCGATGGACGGTAATACGTTATCCAGGATATATAGTCCTTGTCTCAGAAAATTCACGAGCGATATGCGCGGGTGTACGGCCAGCTGACCGGAGCAGCTGGTGCAAATGACGCGGGACGGCAAAAAAGCCGGAGCGAATGTCCTGCAGGACATCGCATATTCGAGAAATAACATACATTATTATGAACTCCGCCTTACAAAGAACCCAGTAGTAGAAACAGTCCGCGCGCATGGGAGGATTTATCTGTTCAAATATTCAACAAAGAAAAAAAAGAATCCAGCTGACGCTTCGGACTAAGAAAAGATCAAATTTCAAGTTTCAAAACAACTTCAATTGACAGCCTATAATTATAGCGAACTTCGTATATGGGCAGAGCGCATAAATAACAGTAATGAATATTGTAGTATTTAAGCAACACAAAGTTGCCGCAACCACGTCCCTGATCTGGATTCCTTTGTAATTTTCTTTATTTTTCTTTCAGCCCACCTTCCGGACGCGTTGACGACAGATTGCAGCAAGTGCAGCGAGAAGCAAAAGAAGGGCACCGAGAAGGTCATCCGGTATCTGGTCAACAAGGTACGCGCCCATACCGCCCGTCACTTTTCACCGGACTAATTAAACGCGGTGCCGCGTAATGAGTTGATGCCGGAGGGAGGAGAACGCTTGGGGAATACGTCGAGCCAGTTTAAATGCCGCGGAACTAGTTTGACTTTCACACAGAGAGGCGGGTTAACCCTCTTTGTCGAGTGATGGTGACTGTGGGTCTTACGACAGCGGTAGGGGGGGAGGGGGGTGTTCTCCCGATTGCGAACCGCGCCCGGAAAACTTTCCCGTAGTCAAATAATTTAACAGTGATGTAAATTCCGCCACCCCTTCGATTCACGCAGCCCTTCTTCGAAAACCGATTTCACCCCCGATCGGACGGCAGTCGCTTGAATCGCTCCAGAAGAGTTTCAATCCGGTTCATCTTCAATCTATTGTATTTCGCGCCGGTTCCTCTTTCTCGGAGTACTAAACATATTTTTATATCGAACATGACGATTTAAAGCGCTTTAAGGCTTCTGATCTCCGCAATTCCCAGTCAAATTGGAATTTGACGTTAGAAGGGAGAGATCGTGTTAAATTTTTTCTTACATTATACGTCAAAATAAAATTGGATTTTTGTACGTCATTTGCTTATATTTGATAGTATAAATTGATGAACTATATCTCGAAAACTCTCTTTTTGCTTCGTAGATTGATAACCAGTTGTAAATCTTAATCAATTGTCGCCAGGTATATTTTTATCGAAAATATAGAAACATACGAGTTGTATTATACATGCATTTACCAATTCAGGAAAATAAAAATGAGAATTTTCGGTATTTTCACCAATTTATATTGTCAAACAGTCAGGTGACGGTATGAGAAAAAAACTAATTTATTTCAGCATATTCTGTAAGAAAAAATGCACATGACTTTTTATGTCATAATTAAATATAATTGTAATAAGAAAATATAATCTTTAAGTTTATACAAAAACTTTACTTTTAAATGTGTAAAATTTTATCTATAAAATTATTGTGACTTTCATATTTTTACAATGATATATTATTGGTTCAATAATTTTAATCAAACTTTAAGATATTGCTTTAGCAGCGAGTATTTTCTACGATTTCCAATATAAAGTGTTAAAATGAGAGAAGTGAATGGGAAAATTTCTAGAATATGAGACTCCACAAATCTTATATGAATATAGTTATACATGCGATCTTGTAAATTTTTTATTGTGTGAACAGAAGGTGGCTTATTCGATTTTTTCCATTTTATTTCAGAAACCGGAAAGCTGGGAGCAACTTAAGAAAAAGTACGATCCCACTGGCCAATACAGTGCCAAGTATGTAGACGAGGCGAAGAAGCAGGGAATAAATGTGTGAATAATTTAGATTCTCATCTCGTTGAATAGAACATCGAGAAATCTATCCTCTTTTTTCTTTTCTTTACACTGTTTGAATCAAATAAATCCATCCAAATCAAATGAATTTAAATAAATTATTTGTAAGCTTTTTATTTTTTTTTGATAGAAATTTAAAAGCTTTGTAAAACATGTACGTTATTAAATATTATAATAAATAATAATTGATTAAGATTGTAAAAGAAAGTTATTACGATGGAATTATCGGAGCGAGTACTATAATTATTGTCATTGATTTATGTCCGCGGTAATTTCCTTCGTCTTTGTCTCTTCACCCGTCTTTGTCTTGATGGGCAAACAGCGTTTGTACACTAGTCACGGTCGGCAATAATATATTTCTGGATTCCGTGCGCCTCTTCTCTCCCCGAAAGCAGTTCGACACTTCGGGAAGAGATAAATCCAGGCACAATGCCCGAGAAAAGTTCCCCGGCCGAAGTTTGAGGTCCGAACGTCGCCCTTGAGACCGTGCCTCGCTTAATTTCCTGACGCTGTCCAATACGAAATATATGTGCGCATACGCGGCATAGCTTCGCTGTTCGAAACCCGCCGGAAACCGACGGCGATTTTGTATTTCCATCGTCCTACATCGGAGGACCGAGTGAAACGTACCAACCCACCACTCGAGAAACCTCCGCCCATTCCAAAGCCGCCAGCTCAGAGAACCGTATTTCATCGTCATGAAACAAGAACATCGGACGATAATCGATACCGTTCAGTCAGGTAACGACCAGAGTCAACTCCTTGGCGAGACTGAGTTATCAAAGTTGCATAAGGACTAACGAGAGCGACTTCGCACGCGGCGCGTGTTTGCTTATGGATTAAGTTCGATCATTTCAGCTCAGATTCGGATTCGCGGTGTTCCTCCGCCTACGCGAATAAAGATTTCAAGCGCGAGAGAATTAAAATTTGCTTTGTCTGGTTTATTTTTAACATTG